AAATATTAAATTTTAATTTAAAAAAAATAATATAATTTATATTTTTTTAATTTTTTTTCAATTTTTTTTTTGGAAATTTTTTTTCAAAAAATTAAAAAAAAAATTTTTTTTTGTGGTCAATTGTTTTTTGTAAAATGAAAATAGAATTTGATCAATATGAAAAAACATCATATTATTAAAAATAGAAGTAGTGGTGGTGGTGGTGGTGGTAGTGATATTGACCTTGATGATAATCCACTAAAAACAACCACAATAAAAAATAAAAACAAAAATAATAAAAATAATAATAACCCCCCCAAAAATAACAATAAAAAAAACGCTAAACATATTGATAATATAAAAAATAGTGATGACCAACAAAATAATAATGAACATATACTTTTGAACGACAATAATATTTATGATAATAATCATACTAACAACAGTATAGATAATAGTGGTTTTGATAGTGACACAACAGATACAGATGAAAATTATAGTGAAAATGAATCAAATAGTATTGATAATGATAATTATAATAATAATAATGATAATGATAATGATAATAATTCTAAATTTGGAAGTAAATTTCTAAATTTAATTGCAATTATTGAAGGTGTTTGCAGAGTATTAGAATTGGTTTTTGTTTCAAATATTATAAATTATATAATAATATTCATAATCGAACCAATAATAATTTTCTTTTCACCAGAAAAATCAATCGTTCAACAAAAAGAATCATCACCACAAGATTTAACAAATACCACTACCACTGCTCCTATTAATACATCATCCTCCTCTTTACCCACTATCACCAATAATCAAATTTTATTTATCAGCTTAGTTTTAAATATTTTCTATATTCTAATAAGATTCAACTCCCTTTTAAGCTTAAAATCAATTAAAAATTCAATCAATTATAATAAAAGAATTAAACAATCTTTAACTAATAATAACAAAAATAAACAGCAACAACTTCATCAAAATGTATATACTTTAAAAACACCAAAATGGTAAGTGGTTTTTTTATTAAAAATTTATCAATATCTCAAAAACTCAGATTTTGTTTTTTTTTTTTTTTGGTTGTATAATAATTAAAAGACACATAACATCCCCCCCACAACACACCCAATACAAACGCCAACCCACATACAACCCCAAAAGCCCAAAAATATCAATTCTAAAAAAAAAAAAATATTAACTGAATTTATTTTTATTTTTTAATTTTTTTAATTTTTTTTTAATTTTTTTTTTTAACTAAAATAGGTTAGGAATTTTTAAAAAGATAACAATTGATTTTAAATTATTATTAAAATTTTTATCAATAGAATTGTTTTTATTTTTGTGTGTTGTTTTTTACCAGTACTACACAGATTCTTGGTTTTTTAATTTTAACAATTTAATAAAGAACAGTCAGGCTTCACCAAAAGAGTTTTTAACTTTTTCAGAATTAAAATCTCAATTTTATAATAATGTGTCAAATATTGATTTTTATAAAATTATAGTATTTGTATTGGTGGGACCAATTTATGAAGAGCTATTATTTAGGGGTGTTGTTTTCTACTCTATGGTAAAAAGGTAATTATAATAAAAATAATAATAATAATAATAATAAAAATAAAAATAAAAATAAAAATACACACACATAATATTATATATCATATAATCAATATATATGTATATATAAAAAAAAAAAAAAAAAAAAATAATTACTAACAATCAATAATATTATTATTTTTATTTTTTAATCAGATGTAAAAATTTATTTATTTGTATTTTGGTACCAAGTGTATTATTTGGAGTATTCCATTTATTAAATTTAATTCATGGGTATTTTTCAATTTACTATGTGTTTGCTCAAACAGTTGTTGGCATAGGATTTGGAATGAATTCATCATTGTTCTTCTATAGAGACCAAACAATTTATACACCAATTATTATACATATTTTCAATAATATGCTTTCAATATTAATGCCAACTCACATCACTCTCGACATATATTTAATTTTATTTTTAATTTTAATTTATCAAATTTTATTTTTATACACTCAATTTATAAATAATTTTAAAAAAGTTGAATATTAAAAAAAAATAAAAAAAAAATAAAATAAAATAAAATTTTAATTAAAATACGAAACTCCTTTTTTTATTTATTAATTTATTTGTTAATTTATTAAACATTTAAATTTTATTTAGTTTTTTTGACCAATACCAATATAGGCAAATGATGGTAGTTCTAATTTTCCATTTTGATTTCTTTTATGACCTTCGAGTAATCTATTGGATACATTGATGATGGTTTGATCTAATAATGGCTTTTTATCATCTGGAAGAGCTTCTAAACAGTCAAAATAAACTGGATTAACAGAGAACATTTTAATTAAATCGGTTGTTTCTTGTATTTCCATTGGATGTTGCACTCTTTTAATTTCTATATTAACGAAACCAACTTCTTTTAATTTATCTTCAAATACTTGTTTATCAGAGAGTGAAAGAGCAACTTGTTTAAAGCTGTTGTTGCCTAAAAGTTCATCCATAGTTTGTTGAAAAACCTTGATTAAAAATGAATCTAAACACCAAGAGCCAATTGCAGTTTTACCACCTGGTTTTAAAACACGATACATTTCTTTCATACCTTTAACTATATCTGGGAAAAATATAAGTGCAAAAATTGAGTATGTATAGTCTATTGATGAATCTTTAATTGGTTCCAAGTTTTGACCATCCATTACTTTGCTTTCAATAGTTTGTATGTTTAGCTCTTTAATGAATGTATCTAATATTTGAATCATTTTTGGTGAGAAATCTGTAGAGATGAATCTGGCGTTCTTGTATTTGGAAGTACCATAAAGTGATAATCCGCCAGTACCCGAACCAATATCGAGGATAGTCATTTCTTTATTTGGATCTTCAATGGTAGCGTTGAGTGCATCAATTGCAAATAAAGTTGAAAAGCCAGTACTGATATTAGCTGGTGAAATATATTTTGCAAAAACTTCGGCTGTTGAATCCCATCCTTTTGATACCTGAGAGTTTATAGGTTTATTCATTATATTTATAGTATTATTTAAAAAAAATGAAATAAAATGAAAAAAAAAAAAATTTTTAATTTTTATTTATAGCGTGGGTGTGTTAATATAAAAAAAATAAATACGCTATATTATTTTTTTTTATGGGAATGATAATTTTTTAATTAAAATCAAAACACTTAACAACACTTCGTAAATAAGAACTGAGTCAGAAAAAGAAATTTTATATTTTTTCCATTACCCCAAAACTATAAATTATGTCATCAAAAAAAATAATAAAAAAAAATAAAAAAAATAACTGATTTTTTTTTTTTTTTTTTAATTTGCATATCTTTTTAAAAAGGTACATTATAAAAAATTTATTTATATCCAAACTTTTGAATATTTTTTATAAAAAAAAATGTATTCATTTTTAAATGGAGATTTGTAAAATTGAGTTGTAAATTCTATTAGAGTGGTTTTTGACCTGTGGCAATGTAAGAATATGATGGTAATTCTAATTTTCCATTTTGGTTTCTGGTTTGATCACAAAGCAATTTATTTGAGACATTCATAAATGTTTCATTAAAAATTAGCTTTTTATCTTCTGGAAGAGCATTGATACAATCTTGATAAACTGGATTGATTGAGGTGTGTTTGAGCAAATCTGAAATCTCTTGAACCTCCATTGGATGTTGTACCCTATTGATCTCTATATTGACAAAGCCCGCTTCTTTTAATTTATTTTCAAAAACTTGTTTATCAGAGAGTGAAAGAACTGCTTGATTTGAAACACTATTGCCCAAAAGTGCATTCATAGTTTGTTGGAATGCAGCTGGTAAAAATGCATCTGTACACCATGAAGCAATACCAGTTTTACCACCCGGTTTTAAAACACGAAACATCTCTTTCATACCTTGAAGTATATCTGGGAAATAAATTAGACCAAAGGTTGAGAATGTATAGTCTATTGATGAATCTTTGATTTGCTCTAAATTTTGACCATCCATTACTTTGCTTTCAAAGTTACTGATTTCTAACTCGTTAATGAATTTATCTAAAACTTGAATCATTGAAGGTGAAAAGTCACTAGAGATAAACTTTGCATTCTTATATTTATCATATGCATACAATGACAATGTTCCATATCCACCTCCAATATCTAATATAGTCATTTCTTTGTCTTTATCCTTGATGGTTTGACTTAAAACATCTGCTGAAAACATTGCATTAAAATTATTAATATTAAATTTCTTTGGTTGTACTGAATTTATTAAAAAATTTCCACCCAAATCCCATCTTTTAGGTTGATGAATGTTCAAGTTTTTATTCATTATTATTTAAAATATTGATTTATTGATTTTTTAGTTTTATAAAAAATATAAAAAAAAATCAAAATTTTTTTTTTTTATTAAATTATTTTTTTTTATTTTTTTTTTATTTTTATTATTTTTTATTTTTTTATTTTTAATAATGGCAGAAAAACATTATTCCCTCTGATTATAAATTTATGTTTATTTAAAACCTATATATCACTTAAAATTATTTAAATATTTTTCAGTTTTAAAAAAACAAGTTAAAAATAAAAATTTATTTATTTATTTAATCTCTATTTTAAATGAATAGTGTTTTTTTGAAGATATTCTTTAAATGATGTTAATTTTGTTATTTTTGAAGCTAAGGTAAAGTTGTCATCAAAACCATAGTTATTACAAAAATCTAACATTTTTGCAACTATAGGATTACCAACTTTTTCATATTCTTTTGGTGGAATGTATTGTAATATGATGGGTTTTCCTGTTTCCTTACTGAGAATTTCACATATTTGTTCACTACTTAGAGCATCACCATTTAAGAAAATTGAGAGATTTGAATATTTCTTTGGATCTTTAAGTATTTCTACAACGACTGGACCCATGTCATTGATATCAATTAAATCAAATGGGTGCTTTGATTTTGGATCTACAGCAATTTCAAGATAATAGTTGCCATCTTTGTTTTTTCTTATTGTAAATAATGGATTGGCTTGATCGAAATTTTGCATGTAAAAAGGTGGTATTACAAAGGATGATTTAAACGATGGATTCTTTTTTGAGATGTCTCTAAGGTATTCTTCAATTTCGTACTTTAAATCAAATTCTTCAATAACAATTTTCCCACTAGTAATTTTCTTTGAATTTGGTAATGAACTAAATACAAAATGTTGAACCCCAGCTTCCAAAGCAGCATCAACAACAGTCTTACCATATATTGCTTCTTTTTCAAACAAAAATGCACTAAAAGTTACCAAAAAAACGCCATAACTTCCTCTTAAAGCTTGCTCTATTTCTTTTTTTGAATCGGTTACATCACATTTTACAACTTCGCATCCTAAACTTTTTAAATGTTTTGCTGATTGTGATTGAGTATTTCTTGTAAGAGCACGTACTTTAAATGTACCATCTTTTAATAATGAGTTTACAACAGCACCCCCCTTAATAAAAAAGTTTGAAATTAATATTTTTATATTTAAGTTTGAAATATACTAATACCTACTTGTGAACCAGTTGCACCAAATACAGATACTATCTTAGACATTTATATCTTATTATATTGTTTTGAAAAATAATAGTATTTTAAAAAAATTAAAAAATAATTATTGTTCACAAATTGAAATGGGGTAAATGAAATTTTAAATAATATAAAAAATTGTAAAAATTAAAAAAAATTCATTTAACCCCCTTTTTTACCATAAAACTTGTTCCTCTAAGGAACACTATATGTAAAAAATAAAATGTTTCTTTATACTCAATAAAACATGTAAAAAAACTAAAAATATAAAGAATAATTTAGAAATTTATATGTTTATAAATTACATTTTTTTATTATTTATATAAATTTATTATATAAATTTAGTTTGATTAATGAATTATTTTGTCTTTTTTTTAATTCTAAAAAAGAGTCTAAACTTAATTTCGAATAATTTGTGTATTTTAATAAAAATTCTGTAATTTCTACATGATCCCGTTCGATTGCTAAATTGATAAAGGTAATTGCTACTTTATTATTATGGATAATTTGATATTTTGAAACTAGAAATTTAAACAAAGGAAAGTTGTTGCTAGATATTACTGAAATAAAGAATCTTGCTATGAGATTTGTACCCTTTAATGTGTTACTGAAATACTTGTCAAACAACATCTCGATAAATTGAATACTGCAATTAGAGTAGAGTGTTTTGTTTATTAATGATGATATTAAACATAATCTTCTTTTAATTGGGGTTTCTAATAACTCTAAAATTTCGCTATATCTTCCAGAGCAATATAATAAATTTAGGCAAATTGAAGTTGTTAAAAACACTGTTATTGGATTATCTTTTGGTATACCATTGCAATCTAATTTTAAAACCATTGTGTCATTATCTTGATTATTTAAATAATACTGATTATCTTGTTCTGTATCATCGTCACTTAATTCATCATCCTCATAACCATCATTATTATTATTAAATATATCGTCATCGTCATCTTCATAAGAACTTGGATCCAGATAGATTTCTGGTATTTCTCGTAACTTTGAGCAATGTTCGAATAACCAATATGCAAATTTATAACCTTTGGGCAGTTCGAATTTATTTCTTACGATTGGCTTTAACTTTAAATCGGTAAACTTTAAGGTTTCTAAAAGAGATGTTATAATATCTTGATTATTATAAAAAACAAAGCAGTTAAATAAATCGCCATAGTTGTTTAGAACCATACTAGAAGGTAGGGTGTAGTGTAGTGGATTTCTAATAGCTCTTAATAAACACTGAAGCACCATTTTGGGAGGATAATTTGTTGAATTACTAGAACGTAATTTATAGTCAAGTTTTTTACCTGTTCTATTTGAGTACTCCTCTTGATATACATCTAACACCTCTTGATTAGAGAAAAAGTTATAGTTGTCAAAACCTAAAAGCAAAAATTTATTTCTACTATCGTTCATTAGATATAGTAATACCTCTTTTGAATTAATACCCATAAGAATCTCTTGGCAACCATTTAAAAATATGTTATTGTTTTCGTTAATATACTCTATTAATTTCATGTTGTTGCTCTTTAAAATACATTTTAAAAAAAGTATTTGTGAATCTCTGAAACTTGACATATCTTTGATTAGTTGATTTATAAATTTCACATCGACATTGTGTTTCAAAATACCTTCCAATTCGTAGTCATTTATATATATAAAGTAAAATATGCCAACTTGATATCGGATCTCTTGCCTATTTTCAAAAAGAAAATAAAAGATTGGTGGCTTTTCAAATACTGAATATAAATCGAGACTATAAATTTCTAAGTATTTATATACTATTGTTTTTAATTTTACATTTTGATCCATATCTTTGAAAAACTGTATATTTTTAAAATTAATTTCTTCATTTCCTTCTATTAATACTGATAATGGTGTTATAAGCTCTACAACACTTGAATTTAGCTGCTTTTTACTAAATTGGTAAATTTCACAAAATTGATTTAAAAACTTAATATCGTCCTTTCTTTGTTTAATATTTACTATTTTAGGGAATGTATGTACTATTTGAATTATATGTTTGAATTTTAAAAATGAAAATATATTTATATTAAAATTTAAATTTTTTCCAAATTCTTTAGAACGAGATGCTGGTGTTGTATTGATTTTATTAAACCATTTGTTTTCAATATACCCATTCTGAATATAATTCACAATATATCTTTCATAAACTGAAATACAAAACTTGGCACGCTGGATATCTGATATGGTATTTTCATTGAATATTAATTTAAGTTTTTTAATAATTGTTTTAGTGGCCACTTTGAATACTGATACAAATTCGTATAGTGCAACTTTATTTGAACATGATATAATTAAATCTAATGACTCTTCAATGTTCATAAATAGGTGTTTGTAATTTGTGAATAATCTGTTGTAAAATAATTTATTATCTTTTTTATAAATTGAATTATACACACTCAATAACCCATTTCTTTTTTCACCTATATATTCAAATGCTAATTTATTTTCAAAATTTAAAAAACTTTTTAATTTGACCTTTTCTTTCAATATTTCAATTCCATTTCTATAATTTTCTAATATTTGATATACATCTATTAATCTGTCGAATGTATAAACATGTTTTAATTTAAAATTTTCACATATTTTATGCATTAAATATTTATTTTTTAAAATTTTTAAAAACAATAGATTATTATTACTATCAATGCTATTACTGCCACTTATATTATTATTATTATTATTATTATTATTATTATTATTATTATTCATGATTATAACTTTTATTAATAAATAAAATAAAAAATAAAAAATTAATAAAAAATAAATTTTTTTTAAAAAAAAAATCTAAAAATAAAAAAAAAAAAAAAAAAAAGATATCTCAGCTTTTAGATTAGATAATGATTAATTTTAAATATAAAGTTATTACACTTTTATTTATTTGATTTTTTTCCTTGAATATTTTTTTAAAGGGTTGAACCAACAAATACTTTGAAAATTTTTAAAATATCATCGATGGTATCAAAATCTAAAATAGAGTAGTTATCTTTCTCTGTATGCCAGGTATTTGGAAATGGATATGGTATAATATGAAGTGTTTTAACATGTTTTTTAAATGGAACGTCTATAAAAAATAAAAATAAAAAAATTTTAATTAATATTAATTCATTTATTATTTATTGATATTACAATTGTTTACTTACGATCATCTTGGATATCGCCTGTTAAATATCTATTATTGAAATATCTACCTGCTTTTGGTTGAATTCTATAATAATATTGTTTAAATTGTTAATTAACTTATTTTTGTAATCTATTTTGAATATTTTTACTTACAATCTTTTTAAGGATAATTTTTCTTCAATATCAGATAGTTTTAAAAATAAATCTTCGGTATCTTTTCTAAATTGGTAGAATTTTGGATCTGATACACCAATTAAATCGATTAATATTAAACAATCAACCAATTCATAAAAGGATTTTGATGTTTTTTTATGCTCAATAACTCTATTTTCTAATACTGAGGCTAAATGTCTTGCGCCATAAATTGAATCAGTATCACTCCAATGTTTAAATGCTTCTTCACCATCAAAAAATATTAAAATAATTTTTTCTAATTTCAAAAAAAAAAAAAGTTAGTAAATTTTTTATTTATTTATTTATAATGTAATACATACTGTTTGAATTTATAATTTGGTGCTCTAAAGAATGGGCCAAATCAATTAGCATAGAGCATGGAACAGCAGAATCGGTAGCACCTAAAAATGAAAACTCTTCGAAATATTTTGAATCGTAGTGAGCCGACAAAATTAATGATTGTGAGTGTGGATCGGTTTTTATAGAATTTGAGGATATTATAATATTTGTGAATGTTTTTTCGCCTAATGGGGTGGTATCTTTGAACTGATCCAATTCAATATTCCAAACATTTTCAAATGGATATTCTTCTAAATCCTCATCGTCTATTCCCTCTATATTCTCTAATTTTCTATTTTCAAACTGACTGATAATATATTGTTGTACTTCTTTATGAGACTCTGTATCCACAACACGTTCTTTTAAAATATGTTTTAAGTGCTCTTGAATTACTGGAATACCTGATTCTGTGTATTTTTTCATTAGTGATGATTTGAGTGTTTTAAATTTTATACTATTATTATTATTATTGTTTTTATCACTATTATGAGCCCCAATAATTTGAATTGAACTGGAATAATATATGATTACTGTAAATATTAAAATTAGTTTTATTATTAGTTTCATTGCAAAAACTTTAGGGTATTAGATTCGCTCCACAATAAAAATGAAAAAAAAAAATTATTTTTAAATCAAAAAAAAAAAATCAAAAAAAAAAAAAAAAAAAAAAAAATCCCAATTTTAAAAGAAAAAAAAAAAAAAAAAAATAATAAAAAAAAAAAAAAAATAAATAAATAAAAACACAAATTCTCGAGAATCTAATAATATGCACAAATATTTGACTTATACATACATAACAAACCTTTTAATTAAATCGCTTTCCTGTAAAAACAATAATATTTGAAAAAATTAAAAAAAATAAAATAAAATTTTTTTTTTTTTTTAATTTTATTTATTTTTTACCCAAAGCGCTTAAAATTTTTTTTTTATTTTTAAAATTAATTTAAAAACATAAACCCATGAATAATAATAATATTTATAATAATATAATAATATAATAATACAATACAATAATAAATACTAAATGTTAGAATTTCAAATACCTATTCACTTTGAAGATATATCTTTAGTATCAAATGATAAATATACAGTAAAAAACAATTTAAATATAATAGAACAAAATGATAGTTTTATATTAAGCACAATAGATGGTAAGTCCACTTTAAATAATTTTTGAAAAAAAAATAAATAATTTATTAATAATTTATATATTTTGAAATAGCAATCAATGAAAGAATTAAAAAAGAACCTAGCGATATTATCAGTCATAGTTGCTTTGATTCGTTATATTCATTGCTTTCACATATCGAACAGTTAAAAGTTGACTATAGAAATCAAATTATTAAAATTTTAAAATTTGGTTTAGAAAGTTTATCAACAGAAATCAAGAAAGAATTTAATAATAATAATAATAATAGAATTGAAAACCAAGATGATAATGACGATGAAGTTTTAAATTATAAATCAAAGTGTTTATTATACAGAAACTCAATTAAAATGTACATGTATTTTATTGAACATTATATTTCTTATCAAATTGCAAATCATTCAAATAGCGGCACAACAGCACCAACAATAACAAATGCAATTGAAAATAGTGAAGAAGATGAGATTATTAAATCAAAAAAACCAAGTAGATCAAAAAAATCAACTTCCACTGTGACATCAAAATCTAAGAAATCGACTACTATTGAATTATTTGAAAAGGACGAAGATAAAATATTAATTTTGACCAGTATAATCAATTTATTAGAATTAAATCTATCACAAATATGGAGACTGGAGTACCCAGAAGAAGAGTTTATCAATTTAATATCAAAGATTGCCTATGGAATGTTTGAACAAATCCATAATTTGCGTAATAAGGGTATAAAGAATTTAATTTTTCAAATTTTAGCAATATTAATTTTAAAGTACAATCACTCATTCAACTTTACTGGTAAAATCATCAACTTGTTGCATACCAATGAAGCATTGTCAATTCATTGTGCTGATCTTTATAAATTTATTCAACAATTCCATAGACGTCAACAACGTAATGAAAAACTTCAAAGGATTCAAAATGGTCAACCATCTCAGATGACAATTGAAAAGAACAAATCTACATTTTTAATCTCTGATGTAATTAGGGAGATTGGTAAACAAAAAGATCAAAGAGATACCAGCGGTTTTAAAAATCTGGCAAAGTTTTTATCAGAGTTAACGGAACGTCTACCCAAGTCAGTTTTACCATTTATAAGTTTATTAGTTGTACATTTAGATTCTGAGTCATATTTAATGCGTAATGCCGTAACCGAGTCTATTGGTTTTTTAATTGGAAAAGCATTAGGTGAAGGTAATGGCGAAGCAGATGATGAAGAAGATGAAGATGATAACTCTGAAGATGAAGGCAATGGAACAAATAGCGATAACGAAGAAAAAAAAATCAAAAAAGAAGAAGATAGAAAGAAAAAAGAGAATGACAAACAGGATTTATTAAATATTTTATTTGACCGTGTAAGAGATGTCAATGGCTATTGTAGAAGCAGTGTATTAAAGACCTTATCACTTTTAGTTGTAAATAATTGGGTATCCTCAAAAGATCTTTTGAACCAGTATCTGGAGATAACTAAAGTTGCAATTGAAAGATTATCAGACAAGAATGTTCAAGTTAGAAAAAGAGCCATACTTCTCTTACTGAACCTTTTAGACTCAAATCCATACAATGACAACCTCTCAATGGAATTATTTAAAGAAAAAAAAGATAGATTAGACTCATTAATCAATGTCTCCGTTCAAATTTTAAGAAAACAAAAAGAAAAAGATCGACAACAACAGAATGGTTCTATTGTAAATGCAGGCGATGTAGTATTATCACAACAAGTCCCAGAAGACGATGAGTTACCAAACTATGAAGAAGGGCAGGCTAAACAAGAGTATCCAACTGAAGAAGACGAAAAACTTGAAGATGATTTTGTTTACAGAAATATAAAAATCAATGGAGAGCAATTTTTTAATATTATTTCAAAATTAAGACCATTTGAAGGAATCAAAATTTTTAAACCAGATCGTTTGCCATCCTATGTATCACATTTAACTACATATCTTAGCCAGTCAATTAAATTCATTAAAATGATCAACCAGGCAATGGACACAATTTATCAATTAATGGGAAGCACGAGTTCATTCGATGTTATCGAATCAATCCATTTCATTGAAGTATCACATAAATTTAAAATCGATAAATCAAAAGAAGCAACAAATAAAATGTTATCCCTAATTTGGAATAAAGAGCCATCAATTAAAGAAGAATCAATCAAAGCATTCAACGAATTGCTAATTAACGAACCAAAGATTAGCGAACCAAATTCACATTCTAGAGCTTGTTGGTTAATAGCAAAAAACTTAATTGGTCAAACTTTAAGTGCCACTCTTGGCGAAACCACATCGTTAGAAGAACTAATCATTGAATTTATGAAAAAGAAATTGATAGACCAAGATGTCATTAGAGTTTTATGGGATATCTTTTTAAACAAATCACCCCCAAAGAATATTCAAATTTCCAAATACGATAGACGTGGTGCTTTAATTATACTTTCAATGGCAGCTAACGTAGATTCGACTATTGTTAAAGATAAAATAGATGCATTAATTCACCTTGGCTTAGAAAATAAAACTGATGACTATCTACCGCGTTATGCATGCATTACCTTACAGAAATTAAGATCAAAGCAACAACACTCCTCATCAGCTAATCCAACATCAAAATCAAATGAACCAACTATACAACCAAGATTTAAAAACAATCAACATTTATTTGAACGTTTAGTTTATTATATAACACAACCATTAAACAAAATAACAGATGATAGTAACGAAAATATCAACAACAACAAGTGGTATATGTTTACAGAACAAGCTATAAATACTATTTATATTTTATCAGAACAACCAGATATTATTGCAAGTGATATTATTAAAACAATTTCAAAACAAATTAATTTAACCTTAACCAATGGTGCTCTAAGTGAAATTGATTCTTTAACTCTTTCAAGATTTATATTTGTATTAGGTCATATTGCAGTTAAACAATTAGTTTATGTCGAAGAGATTGAAAGCGAAAAGAAAAGAGCCAAATATCAACAATCATTAAATGAAAAGCAAAAGGCAACCACATCAAAGAAATCATCACTCGAAAAAGAATTGGGTACAGATCAAGCAGAAGCAGAAACTGAAGCAGAGCAAATCCAACAACAAGCCGAAGCAGATATTTTATCTGATAACAATTTAATTGGTCTATACAAACCACTGGTAATAGCAATTTGTTCAAATGTAAATAATTTATTCGATCAAGAATCACTTCAAACAAGTGCAGTTTTAACACTCTCAAAATTTATGAGTGTTGATCCAAATTTTTGTGAACAAAATCTTCAATTACTTTTTACCCTTTTAGAAACTTGCGAAACAGAAGTTATTAGATCAAATATTATTATTGGTTTGGGTGATTTAGCATTTAGATTCCCAAATTTAGTTGAACCATGGACATCGAAAATCTATAGTAGACTTAGAGATCCTGATCCAAAAGCAAGAAAAAATTCATTAATGGTTTTAACTCATTTAATTTTAAATGATATGATTAAAGTAAAAGGTCAAATTAGTGAAATGGCAATTTGTTTAGAAGATCCAGATTCAAGGATTTCAGATATTGCAAAATTATTCTTTACAACATTATCATCAAAAGGCAATAACCTATATAACTCATTACCAGATATTATCGGAAAAATAACAAGCAGCAGTAATATTACCTCATCCTCTTCTACACCATTACCTCAATCACCACCCATAAATCCCACATCTTCACCCACCTTATCAAATATTTCAAGCACACAAAGTAATAGTAATATTTTACCAATCCAAAAAGAATCAATCAAAAACATTTTAAAGTATTTATTCTCTTTTATTGAAAAAGATAAACAGAATGAAACATTAATTGAAAAATTAATACTCCGTTTTAAAGTGTCCAAAACAATATTCGAATCTCAAAATATTTCATATTGCCTTCAACTATTAAATTTTAACGAAAAAAGCTTAAAAAAACTATTGGAACATTTCAAACTTTATCAAGACAAGCTGTTTGATAATGAAGTATACAATAACCTTTTGTTAGTGATTAGTAAAACCAAAAAACATCAAACCTTTTCGAAATCAAACGAAATTAAACAAATTTTAGACGAGTTAGAAAATAAAATCGAATCAACAAGAAATCAGACAAATAACCCTGGTGAAGATAGTATGGAACAAGATATTGCAAAACCAACTCCCTCAAAACCCTCAAAAAAAGCACCTGCCAAAAAGAAAGTTTCAGCAAAAGCATCTTCAAAAACCCCAACTAAAAAAACAATAAATAAAAAGAATGACAGTAGCGAAGAACACAGTGAATCGGGTCAATCTGAAAGCGACAAAATGGATATTTCTTCAGACGAAGGAATAAGTACAAAAAAAACAATAACCACACCAAGAATGCCAACTAGACAAGTTAAAACCCCAATTAGAAAACAAATTAAAAAAATTGAATCAAGTAGTGAAGATGACAATAGTGAAAGTGAAAGTGAAAGCGAAAGTGACAATAGAGAAAGTATCAATAGCGAAAGTGATTCGGATTCGACATCAGAAACAATTAAAAAATCAATTAAAAAACCAGTTTCAAAAAAGCCACCCGCTTCAAAAAAACCACCTGCCCCAAAAAAGCCTGCCGCAAAAAGATTAAGAAAAATTCAACAATCAGAATCTGATTCTGATTCTGAATCTAATGAATCTGATTCATTTGAAACTGATGATTAAATTATTAAACACTATAAAAACAAAAATTAAAATGTAAATAAATGTATACCCCCAAATTTTTTAATTTTAAAAAAAATATTTTTTTAATTTTTTTTAAATTTTTTATATTTATTTTTTTATAATTTTTAAATTTAATTTTTACCGATTATTAGCAAACAGATAAATGGTGAATAGTAAATAAATAAATAAATTAAATAGAAAATAGATAATAGATAGATAAATAAAAGTAAAGATATAAAAAATTTTGCCGATCCCATACTACTGGGTACTTAAAATTTAAAAATGGATAGAATTACCCAAGAAGATAGAGACCTTTTTTTAAGACAGTATAAAGTAAATTAATTTTATAGTTATAATCTTTATAATTATTTTTTATACTTATTATACTTATTATTATTATTATTATTATTATTTATATGAATTATTATTTAGGATTTTATCCAAAAATATAGATTTACATTAGAACCAAGAGAAATTCTTTCAACTTTTATTTTAACTGAAGAAATTAAAGGTTTAACATACAAAAAAATATTATCTCTTTTTTGTGAACAGGAAAAAAATTTTAAACTATTAAATAAAAAGTTTACAAAAGGAAAACATATACCCTATGAAAGGAGAAAAAGAGAAAGAGATGACACAGATGATAGATATAAAGATAGAAATAGAGAAAGAGAAAGAGAACGAGATAGAAATAGAGAACGAGAAAAAGAAAAAGAACCTGATAGAGGAGATGAAAACAAAGAAATAAAACATAGACTCGATGAAAGTTATAATGATATCCAACATCAGCATCAGCAGCATCAGCAGCATCAACAGTATCAACATATATTACAACCACAGCATCAACAGCATCAACAGCATCAACAGCATCAACAGCAGCAACAACATCAACAATATCAACATCAACAACAACAACAACAATATCAGAACCTTGAGAAAGATACAAAACAAGAACAAAAAGATTTTCAATTACAAGAAAAACTACAAGAACAAAAAGATATTAACCCCGAACAAAAGAAAAAAGATTTCCAACAACAAGAACAAAAAGATCCACAACAGCAATTACAACAACTACCTATAGCACACCATCAGACACTACCTACACAACAGCAACTACAACAACTACAACAAATACAACAAACACAACAACAAATACAACAACAACAACAACAACAACAACAATCACCACCTAAACAGCAAATACAACAACAACAATCACCTATAATACAACAGATGAAATATCAAACACCACAAAAATCTCCTATAATACCACAGCAAACACCACCTTTACAATCACCCACAATACAACAAATACAACATCAAACACCACAACAATCACCAACACCTCCACAATTTTCTATAACACAACAACAGATGCAATATATGCAACAGATGCAACAACAGATGCAACAGATGCAATATATGCAACAACAGATGCAACAACAGATGCAACAACAGATGCAACAACATATGCGACAACAGACGCAGCGACAACAGATACAACAACATATACAACAACAACATTTATCACTACAAAACCAAGATTTTAATTATTTTTCAAATGAATCTTATGAAAATCCATTAAACCAATACAACAATTCTGAACTATCCACTAACTCAAACACGGCATTAAACAAATCACCACCTTTGCCATCATCACCAATGATTCAAGAAGATAAAGCCTATAATAAAATAAATAGTAACCAATACCACAATATGAACAATAACAATATAACAAAAAACCAACCCCAATCACAACAACAAAGAGTTCAATATGATAAATTACCAAGTGAACAAATTGAACAATTTAATAGAGAATTAAAATTTGAAAAAGATAATATGCTACAAATAATAAATCATAAAGAAAATTTTATAAAACAGCTAAAAGAAATTAATAATAAGTTAAACAAGGAACTAGAGAGTAAAGAAAAACAAATTAGTGATTTGACCAAAAATAGCACCAAATTAGAAGAAAAAATCTCAAATTTAGATGATCAAATTAAAGCTTTGGTTGGTGATCCCAAATCGGGGAATAATAGCGGTAATATAAATCTCAACAGAAGCCTTAATGAAGGAAACATTTTAGATATAAATAATCCATAAATTAAAACCTAAATAAACGTTTAAGATCTGTGTGGTCAATTTATTTAAAAATTTCAAATTTCTTATTTTTTTATTTATTTATAATATTGTCATTATATTATTAAGGAGACAGTGAAGGTTTCCAATCATTAAGTTTTTTGTTTGTATACTCGTTGGATAGTATCTTCTTGATATAAGGTAATATTTATTGTTTTTTTTTTAAAAGTGATGATTGGTCTAATTCTCAATCATCAATTGGTATGTGTTTTACTACACTACATATATGTTTTTTTTTTATTTTTTTTTTAAAATAAGGTTTTAAATTTATTTTTAAATTAAATTATTTTTAATTATTAAAATTATTAATTATTATAATTGTTTGATTAAATGACTATTTAAGCTATAATTAATTAATTAAGTGAATTTTGATGAATATTTTTTTTTTTTTTTTTTTTTTTTTTAAAAAAGCATACATTTTATTTAATTTAGAAATATTTTAAGAAAACTTTTTGTAGGGCGAGTTTGTTTAAGGCAGCTTCTGATTGACCATTGTTACAGAGGAAACCACAGAAAGCGAGGGTGGTGAATTCACGGGTGTAGATACCTAGTGTGATTCGGAAAACCTGCGAGACTGGGATCTTTACCTGTTTAAGAGCTCACACAGAAACACCAGGAAGAAAATAGATTTAAAAAGAATCGACAGCTGCAGGGTTCGAACCTGCGCCTCCGAGGAGATCTGATTTCAAGTCAGACGCGTTAGACCACTTCGCTAAGCTGTCAAGTTGTTGATGTTTTGTAATGAAGCTCTATACAGCTTACAAATGATTAAGTATATTATATGTAAAATAAGTATAACAAATAAACAACAAATAACAAATATTATATGTGTAATGAAATTGTAGTTTATTGAATAATATAGAATAAAAAAACCTCTGAAGTTTTAGACTGAGGACTTGAGGTATTTATATTGAATGAGATTGGTTCTAGAAGCTAAATCTTAAGTTAGTTGGAAATACTGGAATTGATAGTTACTAAACAGTAGTTAGTAAACAGCAGTTAGTGACTCTTAATAAGTCTAGGGTCATAGCGTTAATATTGCGATATCATAACAGTATATATATGGTCGGACGGGGGGGGGGGCAGTTATACTACAGTTTTTAAAAATAACGTGTTTTTATTCAAATTTTCTATCATGTAGTATGGAAAATATTCAAATCATTAGATATACTGATACATCTAGAAAGCTACAGAACCCTATCGTTGAAATTACAAATAAAATTTAAATAACAAATTAAATACCCCAGGAAATAAGTCTGATATGAGTTATTGATCGAATTGGGCATAATAAAATTTTATTAGACACTTGGTGGTATAACTGATTTGATGTCGATTTGATGAGTGTACCAATCACAAAATTCTATATTTGTAACAATGGGAGGAATATCACCTGATCTAATTGGTTGTTTGAAATCACTTGTAAATTCTAATTCTGTGATTCCATAAGGTAATGGTTCATCAATATTAATTCTAGTGTAAATAATAAAGTTATTAAAATTATATAATTTAATTTTTTTTATTTTTATTTTTATTTAATTAAAATTTTTAAAATCAATTTTTTTTTATTTTTTTTTTTTTCCCCTAAAAAAATTGAAATAATGTAATAGTATTTTTAATAAATGTTGAAAAGATGTGATTATTTCTTTGATGAAGTTGACTTTTTTTTAATTTCATCATTTCAATAATTTTTTTACCAAATAAATAATTTTACTTTTTTATAAAAATGCCACATCTAATATATAAAAAAAAAAATATTAAAATGGTAATATAATTTATTATAATAACTTTAATAGTAGTAAGGAATCTTTTCATATAATTTATAAACTGTTATTAAATAATTTTTTTTATTATAATAATCAACCACACACTTTTTAACCCACTGTTTAATTTTTTAAAAAAAAATTTTTAAAAAAATTTCAATGTTGCGTGTTTTGTCAATGATTTTTTAAATTTAATTTCTTTTTTGGTAGAGCTTTAAATTTTAATTTTTTTAATTTTTTTTTAATTTTTTTTTTAATTTACATACAAATAATCATATACATACAAAAAAATCATATAATTTTATTTTTTTATAATAATAATCAGCACATTCAATAAATTATATCAATAATAATATTTATTAATTACCATTTAAAAATGAATCTATTAATGATTGTTTTTTATATATTATTGGCTATTATTTTTTCAGTTTATTTAATAAATAAATATTTTGCAATCAATAACAATAACAATAGTAATAACAATAACAATAATAATTGCAATAATAATAGAAATATAACCAATACACAACATTATAACAAAATCAACAACAATTTAGCTGATCAAATTCATATTCACCAAAACCCACAGAATTCAAAACCAAACCATCAATTTGATTCCACTTGTGCTCCACCAGACCAATTTGACTCCACTTGTGCCCCACCACAACAATTTGATTCCACTTGTGCCCCAATACAGCAATTTGATTCCATTTGTGCCCCACCACAGCAATCTGATTCCACTTGTGCCCCACCACACCAATTTGATTCCACTTGTGCCACACCACACCTATTTGATTCCACTTGTGCCCCACCACACCAATTTGATTCCATTTGTGCCCCACCACACCAATTTGATTCCATTTGTGCCCCACCACACCAATTTGATTCCACTTGTGCCCCACCACACCAATTTGATTCCATTTGTGCCCCACCACACCAATTTGATTCCACTTGTGCTCCACCAGACCAATTTGATTCCATTTGTGCCCCATCACACCATCAACAACAATCTCAATTTTTCAACTCAATTTCTTCTCAATTAATTAATAAACCAATCCCACCACCAATTCCATCCACAATTGCATCAAAAACCTCTGCATCTGTCTATCCAATTTTTGAATCTGAGTCAAGTAACAACTCTGCAGGTTCATCATTATCAAAAAGAAAAACATTTAGAAAGCCAGTATCAAGTACTATTTTTGCAGGGGAACCAACATCAACTGGCAACCATCCAATGAAGAAGAGACCATTGGAAATTGATAATGAATTAAATAATGGTGATAGACAAATTTCCAAAAGACATAAACTCGAAGATGAAGAGAGTTTAAACATAGTAAAGCAATTTGTAGAAATGGAAATATTAAAAAAAGAAAGAGAAAGAGAAGAAAAAGAAAAAATGGAAAGACTTAAACTAATCGAAAGAATTCAAAGAGAATATAGAGAAAGGGAAGAAATAGAAAGAAACCAATGTTTAGAAATTGAAAGACAAATAAAAGAAGGATATGAAAGAAAAAGATTAGAAAGAATCCAATTAGAAAGAGAACAACTAGAACAATCAGAAAGATCAAGATTACAAAGAATTCAAAAAGATAGAGAAAGAGCAGTAAAAATAAGAGAAAGAGAGGAAAGAGAAAGAGCAAGAGAAAGACAAAGAATAAGAGAAGAGAGAGAAAGAGAAGAAAGAATCCAAAGGGATAGAGAAGTAAGAGAACAATTAGAAAGAGAACAATCAGAAAGAGAACAATTAGAAAGAGAACAATTAGAAAGAGAACAATCAGAAAGAAATAATTTGGAAGGTGAACGTTCAGAAAGTGAAGACAAATGCACAATTTGTCTTAACTTTATAGATATAAATGAAATGGCCACAATTGATTGCCATCATAAATTTTGCTACAAATGCATTGTAGACTGGTCTGAACGTATCAATACATGCCCAAATTGTAGAAGAGAGTTTTTTGAAATCATAGTAAGTAATTTAAACATTCATATTTATACTTAATAAATATATTAATTAATTTCATTAATAATTTATGCAGAAAGTAGCTAATGAAGAAAATTAAGGTAATGAAGATGAAGATGAAAATGAAGATGATCTTTTAGATATTGAACTTGAAGGCGATTAAGTTAATAGTTTTGATAATTCATTCAATGTTCCTTTTTAAGAAATAGGTGAAGACCAAATTATTAATAAAATCGTTCTATTCAATGTTTCAATAATTCAATCGATTAAATTAAAGAAAGTCAACTTCATCATCCAAGAAACAAATCACATCTTTATCATCATTTGTATTAAGAAGCCATGTATCTCATTAGTTCAACTTTACAGAATAAAGTTCTAAATTTTCCAAGGTCATTTATCAAAACAGCTCTTAAGGTAACTATAATGTTAATATTAACATTATTATTTTTTATTTTTAAAAATAAAAGAAACTAATATTTAATTTTAAATATTTTAAGTTATATTCCAACTCTTTCTTCAGTATCAGCATATTGGGTTTTTGTTTACTCTTATTCAAAGTCAACACGTTTCAAGTCGCAAACTATACAATAGGGTTCTTGTTTTTTTCTTTTCTGGTATCTGCTTATTTTAAGTCACGATCAAACACTTGGGTTTTTCTTTTCTTTTTCGGCATCAGCATATTATAATTCACATATCAAATATTAGGGTTTCTGTTTATTCTTTCCTTTTCAAGGTCAGCAAGTTTTAAGTCGCAAACTATACAATAGGGTTCTCGTTTTTTCTTTTTTGGTATCTGCTCATTTTAAGTCACAATCAAATATTGGGGTTTTTCTTTTCTTTTTCGGCATCAGCATGTTATAATTCACATATCAAATATTAGGGTTTCTGTTTATTCTTTCATTTTCAAAGTCAACAAGTTTTAAGTCGTAAATTAAACATTGGGGTTTTTCTTTTCTTTTTCGGCATCAGCATATTATAACTCACATATCAAATATTAGGGTTTCTGTTTATTCTTTCCATTCCGAGGTCAACAAGTTTTAAGTCGTAAATTAAACATTGGGGTTTTAATTCTTTTTTGGTATCAACTCATTTTAAGTCACAATCAAACTTTGGGGGGTTTCTTGTTTCTTTTTCAGTATCAGCTCATTTTATGTCAAAAATTAAACATTGGGGTTTTTGTTTAATCTTTGTATAATAATTAAAATAAATAATTTTTATTAAAATGTATTTTATAATTTTTTTTTATTAGGTGGTTATCCACTGTCAATAGTTTATTTACCTATTCTGAAATAGAAACAAGTATATAATAATCACTTTTTCCTATAATTTCTCTATCTTTTTTCTGAGTTAATCTTTTATAAGGACAATTCTTCACGAATCTATGAACCTTTTTATTGACCTTTTACCTAGTAAGTATAAAAAATAATAATATTATTTAAAAATATTTAAAAATACAACTCTAATATTATCTAATATAAATTATATTTTTAAATAACATCTAAATAATATAGTCATTATAATTTGATGTTTAATTATTGCCAGTGTTATTTCTCCACATTTAAGACTGATTCAATTTTGGTTGTTTCTTTGAAAAAAAAAAAAATATATTTTAAAAAAAAAAAAAATCATTAAAAATTAAAAAAAAAAAAATAATTAAAAAAAAAAAAAAAAATTTTTTTAATAATAAAAATATTTAAAGACGATAAAACGGATGAAATGACAACAAGGTTATATTGGACGATGATGACGAATATATATCAACCTATATTCAAAGTCAAAAAGACAAACATCAGCTTTTGCCATCCGATGTAATTCAAGTTATATTTCAAATTGCATTGATGGATAATGGAAATATAGAATCAACCATAGAGACATAGGACTGTATGAATAGGGATAGAATAAATTTAGAATTAGTTTGTAAAGATTGGTGCTCAAATATAAAATCATCATGCAACACACTATCACTCTCTTTAAATAATCTATTACCAATTACAAATCAAATTTCAACATTTACAGCATTAAAGAAATTGGAAATCGTTTGTTTGAATATGACTATTCGGATAGTGATGACGACAGTGACGATAGCGATACCGAAAACTATTGATATTAACTTTTTATTATTTAGATAACAAATCAAGTTACTCTATTTAAGCAATGGGTTAAGGGTTAATAATACATTGGAATCATTGGTATTAAGAGGATGTAAAATAGAAGGTTGGGGGAGCATACAGTTTATGCGAAACTTTAGGTATTAACAAATCTTTAAAAGAATTAGATTTAACACAGAATAATTTTGGTGATAGAGGAGGTTGTATTGCAGAAAAACTAAATTTACATCCATCATTTATTTTCAATTTAAAAAAAATAAAATTAAAAAAATAGAAAAAATTAAAATCAATTTAATAAAATATAAATACAAAACACCTTAAATCAATTATAAATAATAATACTATAATAACCAAAATGCCATTATCATTAACTTCAAGAAAATCATTAAAAGATAACGAAGAAGCCTTCAAAACTCATTTAGCCACCATTGAAAAAGCTTTAGGCGAACCATTTGAAATTGTATTTGATTTCGAAGATATCATTACCAAATGTAATGATAACTGGGTAACCAATAGCTGTGGATCCATTTTTTACAAAGATGTTGTTGGTAACTTGGCTAAAAATATCGATACTAAAGTCGGTAAGAACGAAATGGTGATTATTTCTTTGATGAAGTTGACTTTTTTTAATTTCATCATTTTCAGTAATTGAATGATACGATTTTATAAATAATTTGATGCTTTTTCTTTAGATTTTTTAGCAAATAAATAATTTTACTTTTTTTATAAAATACCAAATCTATTATATAAAAAAAAAAAATTAAAATGGTAATATAATTTATTATAAAAACTTTAATAGTAGTAAGAAATCTTTTCATATAATTTAAAAACTGTTATTAAATAATTTTTTTATTATAATAATCAACCACACACTTTTTAACCCACTGTTTAATTTTTTAAAAAAAAATTTTTAAAAAAATTTCAATGCTGCGTGTTTTGTCAATGATTTTTTAAATTTAATTTCTTTTTGTGGTAGAGCTTTAAATTTTAATTTTTTTAATTTTTTTTTAATTTGCTTTTTTCTTTTTTAGTATTTCAATTATTTTTTTTTTTTTTATTTTTTTTTTTAATTTACATACAAATAATCATACATACAAAAAAATCATATAATTTTATAATAATAATCAGCACATTCAATAAATTATATCAATAATAATATTTATTAATTACCATTTAAAAATGAATCTATTAATGATTGTTTTTTATATATTATTGGCTATTATTTTTTCAGTTTATTTAATAAATAAATATTTTGCAATCAATAACAATAACAATAGTAATAACAATAACAATAATAATTGCAATAATAATAGAAATATAACCAATACACAACATTATAACAAAATCAACAACAATTTAGCTGATCAAATTCATATTCACCAAAACCCACAGAATTCAAAACCAAACCATCAAATTGATTCCACTTGTGCTCCACCAGACCAATTTGACTCCACCTGTGCCCCACCAGACCAATTTGACTCCACTTGTGCCCCACCACAGCAATTTGAATCCATTTGTGCCCCACCACATCAATTTGATTCCACTTGTGCCCCACCACAGCAATTTGATTCCCCTTGTGCCCCACCACAGCAATTTGATTCCATTTGTGCCCCACCACACCAATTTGATTCCACTTGTGCCCCACCACAGCAATTTGATTCCATTTGTGCCCCACCACACCAATTTGATTCCATTTGTCCCCCACCACAGCAATTTGATTCCATTTGTGCCCCACCACACCAATTTGATTCCACTTGTACTCCACCACACCAATTTGATTCTACTTGTGCCCCACCACACCAATTTGATTCCATTTGTGCCCCATCACACCATCAACAACAATCTCAATTTTTCAACTCAATTTCTTCTCAATTAACTAATACACCAATTCCACCACCAATTCCATCCACAATTGCATCAAAAACCTCTGCATCTGTCTATCCAATTTTTGAATCTGAGTCAAGTAACAACTCTGCAGGTTCATCATTATCAAAAAGAAAAACATTTAGAAAGCCAGTATCAAGTACTATTTCTGCAGGGGAACCAACATCAACTGGCAACCATCCAATGAAGAAGAGACCATTGGAAATTGATAATGAAGTAAATAATGGTGATAGACAAATTTCCAAAAAACATAAACTCGAAGATGAAGAGAGTTTAAATATAGTAAAACAATTTGCAGAAATGGAAATATTAAAAAAAGAAAGAGAAAGAGAAGAAAAAGAAAAAATGGAAAGAATTAAATTAATCGAAAGAATTCAAAGAGAATATAGAGAAAGGGAAGAAATAGAAAGAAACCAATGTTTAGAAATTGAAAGACAAATAAAAGAAGGATATGAAAGAAAAAGATTAGAAAGAATCCAATTAGAAAGAGAACAAATGGAACAATCAGAAAGATCAAGATTACAAAGAATTCAAAAGGATAGAGAAAGAGCAGTAAAAATAAGAGAAAGAGAGGAAAGAGAAAGAGCAAGAGAAAGACAAAGAATAAGAGAAGAGAAAGAAAGAGAAGAAAGAATCCAAAGGGATAGAGAAGTAAGAGAACAATTAGAAAGAGAACAATCAGAAAGAGAACAATTAGAAAGAGAACAATTAGAAAGAGAACAATCAGAAAGAAATAATTTGGAAGGTGAACGTTCAGAAAGTGAAGACAAATGCACAATTTGTCTTAACTTTATAGATATAAATGAAATGGCCACAATTGATTGCCATCATAAATTTTGCTACAAATGCATTGTAGACTGGTCTGAACGTATCAATACATGCCCAAATTGTAGAAGAGAGTTTTTTGAAATCATAGTAAGTAATTTAAACATTCATATTTATACTTAATAAATATATTAATTAATTTCATTAATAATTTATGCAGAAAGTAGCTAATGAAGAAAATTAAGGTAATGAAGATGAAGATGAAAATGAAGATGATCTTTTAGATATTGAACTTGAAGGCGATTAAGTTAATAGTTTTGATAATTCATTCAATGTTCCTTTTTAAGAAATAGGTGAAGACCAAATTATTAATAAAATCGTTCTATTCAATGTTTCAATTATTCAATCGATTAAATTAAAGAAAGTCAACTTCATCATCCAAGAAACAAATCATATCTTTATCATCATTTGTATTAAGAAGTCATGTATCTCATTAGCTCAACTTTACATAAAAAAGTTCCAACGTCATTTATCAAAACAACTCTTAAGGTAACTATAATGTTAATATTACATAATTATTTTTTATTTTTAAAAAGAAACTAATATTTAATTTTAATTATTTTAAGTTAAATTCCAACTCTTTCTTCAGTATCAGCATATTGGGTTTTTGTTTACTCTTATTCAAAGTCAAAACGTTTCAAGTCGCAAACTATACAATAGGTTCTTGTTTTTTTCTTTTTCGGTATCTGCTCATTTCAAGTCATAAACTGTACAATAGGGTTCTTGTTTTTTTCTTTTCTGGTATCTGCTCATTTTAAGTCACGATCAAACACTTGGGTTTTTCTTTTCTTTTTCGGCATCAGCATATTATAATTCACATATCAAATATTAGGGTTTCTGTTTATTCTTTCCTTTTCAAGGTCAACAAGTTTTAAGTCGCAAACTATTATACAATAGGGTTCTTGTTTTTTTCTTTTCTGGTATCTGCTCATTTTAAGTCACAATCAAACACTTGGGTTTTCTTTTCATTTTCGGCATCAGCATATTATAATTCACATATCAAATATTAGGGTTTCTGTTTATTCTTTCCTTTTCAAGGTCAACAAGTTTTAAGTCGTAAATTAAACATTGGGGTTTTTCTTTTCTTTTTCGGCATCAACATATTATAACTCACATATCAAATATTAGGGTCTCTGTTTATTCTTTCCATTTCAAGGTCAACAAGTTTTAAGTCATAAATTAAACATTGGGGTTTTAATTCTTTTTTGGTATCAGCTCATTTTAAGTCACAATCAAACTTTGGGGGGTTTCTTGTTTCTTTTTCAGTATCAGCTCATTTTATGTCACAAATTAAACATTGGGGTTTTTGTTTAATCTTTGTAATTATGGTTTTCAAATTGGTTTATTCAAACTCAAATTATCCATCTACCATTCAACCGTCTACACCAACGTCAATTGGACCAATCAAAATATTTCATTAAAAAATATAATAACAAATCTAAATTTTTAAATTTCAACATTAGATCTTTAATTAAAAAATCACTCAATTATTAGAGAAAATAAAATAATTTAATTAATTTAATTAAAATAAAGTTTTGTATAATAATTAAAATAAATAATTTTTATTAAAATGTATTTTATAATTTTTTTTTTTATTCTAAAGGTAGTTTAGTTTATTTACCTATTCTGAAATAGAAACAAGTATATAATCACTTTTTCCTATAATTTCTCTATCTTTTTTCTGAGTTACTCTTTTATAAGGACAATTCTTCACAAATCTATGAACCTTTTTGTTGACCTTTTACCTGCTACCTGGTAAGTATAAAATATAATAATAAGTATAAAAATATTTAAAAAATAACTCTAATATAAACTAATATATAAATTATATTTTTAAATAACATTTAAATATGATCATTATAATTTGAAGTTTAATTATTGCCAGTGTTATTTCTCCACATTTATGATTGATTCTATTATGGTTGTTTATTTCTTTGAAAAAAAAAAAAAAATATTAATACTTTTATTACTTATAGGTAAACACTCTAACTTTAAGAGAATCCATTCAATGCAATTATGATGAAATGATAAGTATTTTATTGTATTTTTTTGGTTTGTATTTGATACTTGTATGAGTTTACCCTATTTTTTAGATAGTTTTTTATAGATCAAATATACATAAATTATAACCCAAATGAGCCATATTCCAAACATGGAACCACATAAACCCAATGTAACTGATAATCTATATCTAACCATTGGACCAATTGAAAAATAAACATATGAAGTATCATTCTTGTCATAATAACATGTTTTATTGTCCCCCTTTGGATATTTATCATTAACGGTTAATGGACAAAACGAGCCATAACAAAATTGATCCATTGTATTTGTTAACACTTCTCCATTTTCAACTTCATAGGTTACACTGATTTTTAAAACATAAATTCCTTTACTACGCCAACTCCAACTAAATAAAAGTTTTATAAAAAAAAAAAAGATAAGTTTTAATATATATTATTTATAACTTGTAAAATGTGTGTGATTATAAATTACCTATTTGAATTTATTAAACATGATGTTTTCATCTCATCAACGCCAATTATTGGTTCAACAAAATATATCCACAACACAGCAAATAGTACTGCTAAAACAATCGTATATACTACAAATGCAGTGGATGTTATTGCTTTAAATTTTACACTACTGAAACTGCAACTGCAACTATCACTATCTTCGTAGTAAGAACTTCCCTTATATGACGAGTATGCAGTATTTGAGGGAGTAGGGGTTTGCTTATTATGAATTGCTTTTAACCAATTTGACAACTGTTCTTCAGATTGCATTTCAATACTCCATTCATTTGAACTACCTAGTTTTTCTTTAAATTTTAATAAAATTTGACTTTCGTTATTCTTTGTGAAACTAATACTTGAATCCAATTCTATTGTTCTTTCATTATAATTATTAATACTATCTATTGAGATACTAGTTTCATTATTATTATTGATACTTTCTATATTATTGGAATTGTTTCTATGACTCTTTTTATAATTGTTATTGCTATCATTAATATTATCATCTTCTTCTAACAATATAATATCAGATAAATTAAATTGGTTTGTAGGTTCTCCACTATCTTCATTATCATAAAAATATATTTTTGTGCTATCTATTTTTACATATTTTAATTCCCTAATTTATAAATGTGTTGAAACAATTAATATTAGATAATTATTTAAAATAGTTTGTATTATACCTACCAATTACTTGTATCGCTGCCAATCGATCTTTGGACATTTAGAAATAATATTTCATCAAACATTTCTTTGTTTTATTATTATTACTATTACTGTTTTATTTTATTTTATTTTTATTTTTTTGTGATGGAAAATTTCATCATTTTGTGATTTTTTTTTTTTATTTAAACAACAAAAAAATAAAAAAATAAATTAATACCCTACACCAATCCAGCTTAACACAGTTTTTATACTGCACCTCCCCACTCTGTTTATTTGAAAAAACGTAAAGATATTTATAAAAAAAAAAAAAATAAAAAAATAAAAATAAAAAAATTAAAAATAATTTGGAAATTTGAAAAATGATTATAATAAACACATAAAATATTAAATATATATATATATATATATGTAAATTATATATAATAAAATTAAAATAATTTATTTATTTTATCAAAAAGATATTAGTATAATTGTTTATTTTGGTTTTTTTTGGTTTTTTTTTGGTTTAAAAAAAAAAAAATTTTATTAAAAAAATTTCATAGTTTTTTTTTTTTTATTTTAAATTTTTATTTTTTTTAAAATTTTTATTTTTTTTTTTTAATTGATTTATGTAATTTATAATTAATATAACTAATAGATATTTATAAATAATTATGCAGTCCAACACAACATTCAATATTGAAGAACTGTTACTAAAAATAGAAAATGTAAGAAAAGAGAAAGGATAAAGAAAAGAAAAAAAATATTAATATTTTTTATTTATTTTAGGTTGCATTAAAAAATATTAAAAATAAAGAAAGTTTAGATTTACTAAAGATACTATATAAAGTATGTTTAAACTATAGAGTAAAGAATTTAAGATCATTAACGATAAATTCCACATTCATTGATAAACTGTAAGATTTTTACTATCCAAAATCAATAATCTAGTTAAAAACTAACGTTTTTTTTTTTTTTAGAACTTCAATGCTTTTAGATATAAATACACCCTTTAAAATCAAAATTTTAATACTATCTACAATTTCAAAGATTTCAAAAAATGAACCTCAATTACTTTATAAAAAGTATAAAAAATTTTAATTATCTAAACTTTACTAAATATATATATACTAACAAATCATTTAGTTTAAAATCATTTGACTCGAAAACACTACCAATGTTATTATCATTATTATTAACAAATGCAACTCATTCACAACTTTTTATTCAAAACATACCAGTACTGGTACAATCAATTTCTACACAAGATCCACTATTAAGATGGTCCTCAATGCCATCATTAGCTATTGCTGCAAGATATCATTCAGATTTATTAACAACCTCCCATACCAAACCAATTGAAACTCAGCTAATCCAATTTTTAACACATGCTAGTTTAATATCTGATCAAAAACAATCCTCAACTGGTTGTAAGTAATATTTATTTAACTTTCTTATTATTAAATCATCAGTATCATCATGAATACTAATTGAAATAACAATTTAAGTCTTTGGAAAAATTGCAAATACAGCCGCAACACCTGTTACTGAATTAGATGGATCCATTTCAATCGAATTTTTTACAGTTTTAAATAATTCAGCATCCTACACCGAAGATCAAACATTTAATATTTATTCATTCTCTATATTATATACATGGTTAAAGAATTTATATAAACCTCTAATAGTAAATGAAAAGAGTAGTAGCACTAACACAAATAATAACAATGAAGAGGATGATCAACCACAAACACAACCAATGTCATCAACACCACCCCAACAATATTTACCAATCCAATTACAAAATCAAAGAAATTTAAATCAACCATTTCATAATGCAGTCGTATCTTACTGTTTAAGAATTATAGACCAATTAAAATTTAAACCACTTAATAGTGATCAGACTGGTAATCAAAATAATCAAATTAATTTAGGTGGAGGTATTGGAAATAAAGACCAAGATAATTTGCCAGTAATCGCATTGTTAGAGGCTGTTAGAATTTTAGATTACTTATGTTGTTTAGATAATAATTTATTTGCCAAAATCTTTCCAACAGTCCAAAAAGCCTATCAACTTCATTTACCATCCAGCAAATCTACAAATGCACACTCAGGCCATGTATTATTAGCATTACTTCAATTCTTTGTTAACCATAGTCACACATTAGTTTATGACCCTGAACCATTATTCAAAGCATATTTTCAAACTTATTTACCAAGAACCTGTAGGTATAAAACGAACTTACATAATATAATTTAAAATATAAAAATACTAATCACCTTTTAAATTTTTTTAGATATGAATTCCTTTGTATCATTTGAAACTTTAAATTTTTGTTTAAAGAATAAAGAAATTTTATTAAAGAATTCAAATGTTTTTAATTTATATTTCCCTCCAATTTTCAAGTGTTTAGCATGGTTCCCACAAAGTTATGTTTTTGAATTTTCAGAACTATTACCATCATTAATAGCGCCACATAGTTTTATTGAAGTATTTCATTTACTTTTAGACTTGCCATTGTTGACTTTATCAATGGAAAGTGTCTTGGTTGAACAAAGGAAATTTGCATCAATGGGTATCGAGCACAGCGATGTCGTTGACACAGCATGGAGTGAATATAGGGTATTGTACAACTATCTATTACGTAATGAAAGTGGTGTAAACATCAACTTTTGGTCCACAACTACATTGCCACTTCTTCAACAATTTTGTAAAAAGAACCCAGTTACCCCACGTTCAATAGGATCATGCGATTTGGTACCATCATTATTAAACATCTATTTTGATGTTCTTTTGGAATATGGAAATCTTCAAATCTTTATACAACTATTACCTGTAATCTTTGAACGTATTGACCAACTATTCCTATACGAGCCATATCAAAAGAAAGTACGAGAAAATTTAATGTCACATGTTTTAGCAATTTTTAAAAGATATCCAAGCTTAATAGTATCTGAAAAAGATTTAATCATTCAAGTAGTTAGCGAAGCACGTATGCACTATAGGGACATTGTTACTCTTTCATTATGCTTTATAATTGGTGAATATACCTCACCATTCCTTTGTGGCCTAAACAACGTTAGTAGTCAAATCTTTTCAGAATATCACGAAACTTTAGAATTAATAACTTATGAAAAAATCAATACAATCAAAATGGATTCAACAATGAATAATAACAGCAATAGTAATAATTTTAGCAGCAATACAAACAATTTAAATTATTTAAATATTTTAAATATTAATAGTAATAATAATAACAACAATTTAAATAGTGGTATGGATGTTAATCAATTGCAGCAACAATATAATATAAATATAATGTTGATTTTAATGTCATCATTAACTAAAATTGCATCAAGATGGCCTGATGCCACTTCGCGTGTTGTATTATGTCTAATGAAAATTGTTGGATACCATCAATATTTTGACCCACAAGTCATTCAACGTGCCAACGAGTGTATTTCATTGCTTAAATATCCAAGTTTTGCAGCTGCTCTCTATAATTGTGATCAACCTCAAGATGAAATTTTCCACTCGACCATTTCAAATCAAACCATTGGTATAACAATTCAAGATTGCAATTCTTCACTCTCTTTCTTATTACAAGATACTTTGAATTTTAAATCTACCAAAAATAATTCTATTCATCCATACATTTTAAAATAAATTAATAAAATAATTTTTTTTTATTTTTTTTTTTTTATCAAAATCTCTTTATTAAAACTTTTAATTTTGGATCAATTAATAAAAAAATAAATTAATAAATAATAAATAACCATTTATTACAAATGCGCTGGTTAATCAATCTTTTTTTTTTGATTGTTTTTTTTTTTTTAATTTTTTTAAATATTTTTTTATTTTATTTTATTTTTTTTTTTTTTTTATTTTTTTTTTTTTTTAAATTTTTTTGGAGAACGAAGGTAATAGGGTGATCACGTAATTTTTATTTTATTTTTTTTAGTGTATTTTATTTATATAATATAAAATAATATTTTTAAAAAAATCTAAATCTATAAATAAGTTAGAATAATTAAAATTATTTAAATTAAAATTTAAAGACAAATTCTTATTATTTTAAATTTTTTATACATTATTCTTAAAATATTATTTTTTTATAAGGCACCCACACCACACACAAAAAAAATAAAAAATTAAAAAATTTATACAATGGATTTAAAAAAATTAGTTTTAAAACCAAAAACATTAGCATTATTAGGTGCTAGTAGTACAGTTACATATTTATTATATAAATTTTTTACCCAACCATCAGTATCAAAAGATGAAGGTGACAAGTTTCAATTTAACGCAATTGACCCATCATTAGTTAAACAAATTAAAAAAGAAGTTAAAGAAAGATTTATTAAACCAAATGGTGAAGTCGTACCAATTTTAATTTTTTATGGAACAGAGTATGGTTTATCAGCTGAAGTTGCAAAGAAATTAGAAGAACAAATCAATAAATTAGGAGACGGTCAATTTTGGGCACGTATTGTCGATATGGAAGAATACGAATTAATTGAATTTGAAAAAGAACAATTGGTACTCATTATTACATCAACCTATGGTGATGGTGTTCCACCAACTACTGCTCGTCCATTCTTTGATTATTTAGCTGCAAATCAATTAAATTTATCACACATTCAATTTTGCGTTTTAGCTTTAGGTGATCGTTCATACCCACACTATTGCGCTGCTGGTAAACAAATGGATAAAGATTTCGAACGTTGTCAATCAAAGAGAATTAAAGATCGTGTTGAAGTTGATCAAGAAGATTGGACTATTTTCGATCGTTGGATCGATTCAGTTTGTGGTATGGTTCCACAATTAAGTGGTCTCGAAAAGCGTAATGACGATTACCTCTATGAAAAAGCTAAGATCTTTGCTCTTACTCAAGGTAAACACAACAAAAAGAAACCATACTACAGTAAACTCCTTGTTAAACGTGTTCTCACCAAGGGTGATAAAGTAGGCATCCATTTAGAGTTTGAATTGGGTGACTCTGAATTAAAATATATCCCAGGTGACGCTTTAGCCATTCTTCCAGATAATCCAGCATCAGAAGTTTCTGCTATCATTTCATTATTAAAACTTTCAGCCTCTACCAAAGTCTCAACCCCAGGATGGCACTATCAAGAAACTGATCAACCAAATCCATCTCAAATCACCCTTTCACATATTTTAACTAAATGTTACGATATTCACAATTTAAAACCAGAACTTTTACAACTTTTACGTGATAGTGCTAAAGATGCATCACAAAAAGAAAAATTAACTGCTTTACTCGAAAAAGGTACCGGTAAAATCAATCAAGTTTTAGTCGAATTTTTAGAAAATCATCATTTAGTTGACGTATTAAAAATGTTCTCTTCAGCCAGACCACCAATCGACGATATTTTAGCTCAACTCGCTAAACTTTTACCACGTTATTACTCTATTGCCTCATCAATGAAATCAAATGAAAAGACCGTTTCATTATGTGTTGCCGTCGTTAAATATGACCTCCATGGTAGCGAACGTGTTGGTATCGCCTCAACTCATATGGCCGATCGTATGAATGTTGGTGACCGTGTTTCCATTTTCGTTAATAATAACCCAGATTTCCGTTTACCAGCCGATGGTAATACTCCAGTTCTCATGATTGGTCCAGGTACTGGTATTGCTCCATTCATCTCATTCATTGAAGAAAGAAAAGCTCTTGGTCACACTGGTGAAAATCACTTATTCTTTGGTTGTCGTCGTTCCGATGAAGATTTCCTCTACAAAGAAGAATTAGAAAAATATAACTCTGATGGTTTCATTAAACTTTACACTGCATTCTCACGTGAAACCTCTCAAAAAGTTTATGTACAAAATCGTCTTTTAGAAAACAGCCAACAAATTATCGATCTCATCAATAACAATGGTAATATTTATATTTGTGGTGATGCCAAATCAATGGCTCCACAAGTACATGAAACTCTCTCATTAATCATCTGTAAACATATGTCAATTGATGAAGCTGATGCTCAAGCAATGCTCCACAATATGGAAGTTAATCATCGTTATCAAAAAGATGTTTGGTTCTAAATAATTTAATTTTAATAAATTAAAGGGTTAAAAGTAATCTTTTTTTTTTTTTTTTTTTTTTTTTTTTTTTTTTGTTTCATTTATATTTAGTTTTATTCCATCATTTATAAAATATAATTATAATTATAATATTTTATTTTTTATTTTTTCAGTTTTATAAAAAAAGAAAGTTATTATTATTTTTCTTTTTTTTTTTTATTTTTTATTTTTTTTTATTTTATATTTTTTTAATTTTTTATAAAAATTTTTTTTATTTTTTTTAATTTTTTTTTTTTATAACATTGCAACTATTTTTTTTTTTTGTTTAAATTAATTTGTGAATAATCTTTTTATAAAGATTCATATTTTATTGTTAATCTTTACAAAAAAAAAAAAAGATTATAAAATAAAATGTTTAAATCATTTTTAAAAAAATTTGAAGAGACGTGTGTATATAATTCATAGTTTAGTTTAAAGATATTGAATATCATTACTAATTAAAAGTATTATTATTAATATTATTATTGTTTAGAACCGAATCAATTAAAGGTTCAATATTGTCTTCACCAACTCAATCTACCCAATCTCCACAGCAACCATCGGCATCTCCAGCATCAGCATCAGCATTGCCATCACAACCAATATCAACAACACCATCTCCATCACAACCAATTGCAGTAGCATCTTCACCACCACAATCAAATAATACAGCATCAGTAGCAGTTACAGGTGTATCACCATCACAACAACAGCCACAAAATGTTACAGAACAACCAGCACCATCATCTTCATCATTTAGTAGCACAACTGCAGAAACATTTAAATATTTAAATCCAACAAATTTAAATTATCAACCAATGGTGGACGTTTTTAAGGGATCAGTAGTACAACCAGTAGCTCAAGCATTAAATAATTCATTAAGATTAGAAATGGATACAATTAAAGAGATTGAAATGCCACAATCTGTTATTCAAACCGTATCAAATATTACTTCAACTGTAGCATTATCATCAATGAATATATCACAGTCAATTCCAAATGTTTCACAAACTAGAGAAAGTTTAAAAGAAATCGATTTATATAATGGTTCATTACTTTTAAGAAACTTTGAAGTTAAATTGAAGCAAATTAGAACTAATGGTCAAATCCTTGGTGAGCGTGCCGAGGAAGTGGATAAAAAATTCCCAGAAGTAATAAGAGTATGCTCTTCCAATACTGATCAATGGAAAAAGGCTGAAGTCGAATTTAATAAAATCACAGAAATTAATACCTTGGTCGAATCAATTCAATTAAATATCGAATCTGTTATCTCTAAAATTGAATCTTTAGAAATTCAATTATCAATCGATATAGATAACTATTTAGAAAATGAATTGTATAAATGGAAGGAAAAGAAGGAGTCTGAAATTGTAAAGCTTGATAATGCCAAAAAGTAAGTAATAATTTACTTTAATCATCAAATATCATTTTAAATTAATATATATTTCTTTTTGTTTATTTTAGACTTGAACTCAATAAACTTCAAGAGGATTTATCAATTCAATATCAAAGATATGAAAGAGAGAAAATACTAAAAGAAAGACAAGCATTGTTAGAAAAAGAAAAAGAAAGAAAATCTTCAAATCCACCAGTATATCAAAAACCAATATTAAATAGTAATGGTTTAAATAATAGTAATAATAGTATTATAAATAATAGTAATGATAGTATCAATATCAATAACAATATTATAAATAATAATAATAATAATAATAATAATAATAATAATAATAATAATAATAATAATAATAATAATAATAATAATGATAATAATAATAATAATAATAATAACAATAATAATAATAATAGCATTAATAAAAATAATATGAACGAAATTGAACAGAAGGAGAGCGTTACAATTGATAACATTGTTATTGAAAATACAAATAAAGAAGAGCTTGAATCATTTTTAGAAGATAGTCCAAAAGAAGAAGAGGAAGAAAAAGCCGAAAAAGAAAATGAGGAGATAAATGATACAAATTAATAAAATGTAAATTTATAAAAAAATAAAAAATAAAAATAAAAATAAAAAATAATTTGTAAATTATATTAAACACAAGACAACCATAGTTCATTTTTTTTTTTTTTTTTTTTTAAAAGTGAAGATTTTCATAACAAATGCTTAAATTTTTTTTACTTTTAAGTGTAAGGTATTAAGATCAAATAATTAAATTAAAAATAATTTATATGAAATTGTTTATGTTTTTTCCAAAAAAGAATGCAACATAATTAATATAAAAAAGATTTAATGTTTATATATAAATGTGATAATAAAATTTTTTATTTTTTAGTTTTTAATTTTTTATTTTTTCTTTTTTAATAAATGTTTAGTTTTCAGTCATATATACCAATTCATCAATATCTATAACATTTTTTTCTTCATTTTCATCAGCTCCATCTACATTTGATTTATTAAATGTTTCTCTAAAGTTTTCTAATATGTGTTCTTCAAGTGCAGGATCCGAATCAGATTCTTGTTCTTCTTCACTATTGATATTTTCATATTCATATTCATATTCATCTTTATAATTCACAGAGCTTTTACAATATGAACTACCATTGTTCTTTTCTTCTTCTTTTGATTTTCTAAATCTTTCTATCTTAACTGATAAATTGTATGTATAAGCAATGAGAGTTAAAGCATTAAGATGTCTTTGAATTGATGAATTCCATTTATTTTTAAAACATTTGAATCTTTTGAAAATATTAAATACATTTTCAATTATGGTATGTTTACGTTTAATAAACTGATTTTCCAATTTTTCTGTTGGATTCATATTTCTTTGAGTATGTGGTGTTAAGATTCTATTTTTTTCGCCTCTATATGCTAATGATAAAAAAAGAATATATATATTAAAACTAAATCAATTTAATAATTAGGTTATAAAAAAAATTACCTTTATCACCAATAAATCTTTCACCAGGTTTCATAGAAACTTTACCTAAACTTTTTCTAAATATTGAAATGTCTAAAGCAGGTCCTTTAAAAGGACCATTAATCCATAAAACTTCGCCATCATATAATGAACATCCAAATTCATACTTTAATCCTTTTCCACTATATTTTGGATTGTTAAATGAATTATCTTTGGTATTTAAAGGAAAAAAACTTGTATCAACAGCTAATGTTAAAATTGGTTTTTCAAAAAGTTCCAAACCTTCACTTGTTAAATCTTTGACTTGCTGATTAACTCGATCTGCCAATTGAGACTATATCAACATGCACATTATAATTATAATTAAGAAATTTAAATTAAAAATTAATAAATGAATTTTTTTTTAATATAAATAAATATTTAAAATCAAACATACATTAAAATTTAATTTCTTTGCAGCATCAATAACTTTCCATACATGTGCCATTAATGACCTATCAGAGATTCCATATTTTTCTGCTCTATCATCAAAACCTGTGTAATATCTTAAATAATCAAGTGTCCATATAACATCATGTTCTGATATGCTTTCATCAACATTTTCTAAATCTGCCCAAAGTTGTTCAACCACGTTTTTGGTAAAAATAAATTTTTTTTTAAATTTTTTATCTGTATAATCATTAATTTCAACTTTTTTTTTTTTAGTTGTATTTTTTTTTTCTGGTTTGGTCATTTTTAGAATAATATTATTTTATTATTATATAATTTTTTTTTTTTAGATTTTATTTGTTTTATGTTGTTTTAATTTATATATTAAATTTTTTATATTTAAATTATATTTTAAAAAAAGTTTTCAAATGTTATTAATTAAAATGAAAATTCAAATATAATTTTATTTTTGTGTGTTAACACACCAAAAAATATCTATTTCATTAATTTTTTTATTTTAACACACAATGAAAAATATTTTTATTTATTTTTTTTACACATTTTTTCTAAATATATTAATTTTTTTTGTCAACTCCACACTAGGCCTTATAAACATAAAAAAATAGTTAAATATTTTTTTAATATTTATTTTCACTCACAACACAGAAAATAGTGAAACTAAAAAAAATATAATATTAATTAAAAAAAAAAATAAAAATTTAAATCTTTTTAATATTAAAAAAAAAAAATTTAAGTTTTTGTGTTTTGATTTTTCAAAAGTAAAAAAAAAAAAAATTTTCTTATTTAAAAATAATTTTTTTATAGTAAAAAAAAAAATGTTTAACATAAATATTAACTCTTAAAAATAAAATTAAATTTCAAACCCAATTTAGAAAAAATAAATATGGTGTAAAAAATTTTATTGATTTTTTTATATCACTACTTAAATGTTTAACAACACACCCCACCACTCCTCCCATATTTAATTTAAATAATATAAATTTTATAAAAATTAATTTTCATTAAAAAAAATGGTCGAAAGAAAATTTTTTAAATTTGTAATAACTAATTATTTTTCCTTTTTTAAAATTTTTTTTTTTTTAAACCTTTCTTAATAAAATTAATATTATCTAAATACCATTTTTATTTTCAAAATTTTTGTTGATATATATAAAAAATATATATTAATTTAAAATGGGAAGAACTACAGGTAGTTTAAACAAAATTAAAAAACCTTCATTAAAACCATCAAATGCATATGGTATGTAAATATTTTGAAAATTATATTCCTTTCATAAATTAAGTATATTATATTAATAATTTTTTTTAAAAAAAAAGAAGAGACAAATAATTCAATTGTTAGAGGAATTCCATGGAAAGATCATGAAAAAGAATATATAAGAGTTTTAATATCAACAAATAAAAAAACTAATATTGAAACAATTTCTGAAGAATTGTATCCAAAAATAAAAGATATCTATAAACATTATAATGTTACACTTAAATTAGTTGAATCAATAATTAAAGAAATAACATCAGAAATGCAATCAGAGAAAATGTATAAACACAATAGTGAGGCAAGAAATATCAATAATAATAAAAGTGATACAAATGTCCATAGTTATAATGGTTTTTCAAATCACAAAGATTCATATAATAAAATAAATAATAGTTTCAACACAGATAAAAATAATAATACTAATAATAATAGTAATAATAAAAATAATAATAATTATAAAAAAAATAAAAAAAATAAAAATAATAAAAAAAAATCATCAAATGATCATTCAATTACAAATGAAAGTACTCTACACAAGAAAAAAAATAATGTTGAAAATGAAATGTCAGATTTCAAAGATTCAGTTCGAAGCCATCTAAACGACCTTGAATCAAAAATTTCAAATGTACTCCTTTGCCAAGCAGGTATTGATCTCAAAAGTCCAAATAAAAGATATCTTAATGAACCACCTTTTGTCCATCATGAACATTTTTATCATTCATCTAAAAAAAATAAAATAATGGATGAAAAAGATGTTAGTAAAAGACCAAAAACATATGTATTGAAATCATTTGGTTATGATATTCCTTTTTCAATTATCAATGATTATAGAAAAAATGACCGTATTACAGTTGTTATTCCATTGTTGCACCATGGTGGTTATTATGAAAGAACAGACAGCAAAAGCATACATGATGATTTTATTCCTGGCAAACCATGGATAAAACCAATTTCAGCTGGTGTTGAAAATGGTGTTTTGGTTCTTGATATCGAGCTATTGTCCATTTCAGTTAAAAAGTGCCGTAGTGAATATGCCAACGAATTACAATTTGATGAAAATGAAACCTACAAACCAAAAACAATAAGAATCAAACTTCCAGATGAATATACATATAAAGCAGCTGTTGATACCTGTTATTGTAATGGCCATAAATACCAAAGCAATTCAAGTTTTTTAATTTATGATTGCAAAATCTTTCTTGAAAATTCAAAATAAAATTATATAAATTAAATTATCTTTTTTTTTGGGGGATCTTTTTTTTTTTTTTTTTTTTTTGGAAAGATTTATTTTATTTTAATTATTAAAATATTGAAAAAAATTTTAATTTCATTTTCATATATCTCTAAAGTTTTTTTTAAATTATACGTAAAAAAGGTATAAATTTTAAAATGATAAATGTTAATACCAATTTTTTATATAAATAATATCTAAAATGAATGGCGCAAAGGTTAACACGACTTTTATTAATTTATTTTAAAAGAATTATAATTTAATTTTGAAATTTTTGTAACGCGGAAAATCATATGAAAATGATTTTTGTAAATTGCCTTAATAGCTCAGTTGGTACGAGCGTGAGACTGAAGTTCTTAAGGTCGCTGGTTCGATCCCGGCTTGAGGCAAATCTTTTGGAAAAATTTTTTATGCCGGTCCAAATCTGCTGCTTCGCTAACTTGATCACTTGTTTTGTCGTTAACAACCTTTCATTTCGGCTATTCTTAACGTCTTCTTCGACATTAACATTCTACCATTCACCTGTAGATCTTTGAAACTACCACTGGCTACCACCTTCGAATGATTATTAACGACCTTCTTATCCTTTTCGAATAAGGTATAATCTTAGATTGATGTTGTTTCCATTTTTTTCATAAGTGGATAGTTTGTTTTCTCCATCAATAATATCTTTAACACTTTTTTGAATTATAGAGATGCTTGATAAGAGTATATCTTCAACTCTATAAAAACCGACAAGTGTTAACATCATATAAAATCTTACTTTTTATAAATTAAGTTTTATCAAATAATTTTAGCACTGTCCAACAGCTTTTTAAAAGCTATTTCAATGTATATTAATTATACACCACAAAACACAGATCAAAAGAATTTAGATCGTATTAAAGATTTTTAATCTTCTATCTTCACTATCTCCAATCTTCACAAATTTGTCTTTCTAAAAGCCAATCCAACTACAAACATCATTCCCACCACCATCTTCAAACGTAAAACCAATCATATTAGATTTATCCAACGATTGGAAAGAAATGAAAACTAAGGATTTTCCCCATAATAATTTCAATACTATTGAAGACATACTCTTGTCAAGCATCTCTATAATTCAAAAAAGTGTTAAAGATATCATTGAACGAGATAACAAACTATCCACTTATGAAAAAAATGGAAACAACATCAATCTCAGATTATATTACCCAAACCACCAAATATCCGATGAACATATAATTCATTTCAGCAAATACACAGATATAGAAAAGATCTCATTCGACAAAAAGAAAAAGAAAACTCTCTTTATCTCTCTCTCAAAAGAAAACCTACATAATCTCCTTAATGAAAGAGATACCACCAACAAGATGAACAAGTTCATCACGCACTGTGACGATTACCATATGGTAATTGGAAATTTTTATGTTCTCAAAATATGTGCATATGTAGCTGCTTTGGTGATTGTTGAAAAAGTAATCTATTATTCCAGTTGATTGAATACTTTCTATATGATCATTTACATGAGCAGGGTAGGTTGAACTAAGACCTTCAAACATTGAGGAATAATTAAAAATCTTTGAAATCGTAATTGCATACTTTATAATCTTTATTCTTTCTTGAAGATTTTTCATAAATTAATCGGTTTGACGGTATGTACCTTTTGATTCAGCAACTCTTAAATGATATACGGAAGGTAATGAAAAACTTTTGTAGTAACTATTACTCCCCAAAGAATCTCATGAAATTGTATAACTAACATTATAAGTTTTAATGTTCTTGGAACAATAAGTTTTAAATTCAAACTGTTTTGAAGTTGCATTTTATGTTAAATCTTATATTTTATAAACCTGTTTCATAGCTAAAAATTTAAAATTAAATTAATAATCGAATCGAATCACTTTATATATTTGTATTTATATATAATATTACATACACAGTACTGAATGATTTAATTTTACATATGTAATTATTTCCCCTACCTATGGGTCTTGTACTTTGTTTAATATATATTTGTTTCTCCATTTTGAAAAAAAAAAAATTTATAATTTTTGTTTCCTATTATTATTACTATTATTGTATGTTGTTATTTATATTACAGCACATTCACAAAAAATGATGATAAATTTAATAAAAAAAAAAAACTGAAAAATTCAAAATTAATTTTTTTTTTTTCTAAAAATAATTTTGCACAAAGACAGAGATGAAGAAACACGAAATATTAGTATAGAAGAAAGGGTAAAAGAAAAAGAAAATGAAAAGAAAGAGAAAGAGATAAAAACAAACGAAATGATAATCGCGACTTTGACCTTTCAAGCACACCCCCCGATAGATAAAGACCTTAATTTACATTTTTTTCTATTTTTTTTCAAATATCAATTAACACATTCACATAAATAATTTTAATAAAACATAACCTATATTTTTTACTATTTTAATAATCAATCACTTTATTATTTATTTTTTTAAGAGTATATTTTATTTTTTATTATTTTTTTTTATAACAAAATCAATCAACTAATCAATGAACATATACTAGGGGTCTCCACTGATAAAGAAATTGATAGCAACATTACCATAATCAAAAAAGATTGTGTCGACTTTAATGATCCTGATGATGATTACAAAGAAACTATTTCTGATAACGAATCTAACAATTCAACCAACACACTAGATAACGAGGAAATAAGCGAAACATCTAGTTAAGTCGAAATCTATTGCTTTATAGTTCCATTGGAAGTGTGATTTGTGAAATCTGGTGTTGTTGTTTTTTTTTTTTTTTTTTTTTTTTTAAAAAAGCTTACTTAATAATATAATAAATATTATTAGTGTAAGCGACAGTGTTTATTTATATTAAAATATAAGAAGAAGTAGGGGTTGGGGTAAGGTTGGAACAACCTATCTAGTTTAAGAAGTAGTGAGGGTTGGGGTATGGTTGAATCAACCTATCTAGTTTAAGAAGTTTTTTTTTCTTAGATTTTTGTTCGATAGTAGGTGATTTCGGACTACCTGATTGGTACGTAGTGGATTTGATTGGTGTGGATATTTGGCTAACATTTCGAGTACGGTTACTTTTTGTAGTGGTATTCGTATTTGTTATGGCGGTTTCATTTTTGGAGTTTTGTGAAGTTAATCTTGTAAAGATGTTGTTTAGTGCGTTAACCCTGGATATTCTTAAGGGTTTGTTGGTTGATGATTTATTGTCATCTTGAGGTGATTGGTTTTTTTTTTTTTTTTTTTTTTTTTTTTTTTTAAAAGTGAAGATAATAAAAAGCAATGCTTTTAATTAATCAGTAAAATTTTATTTAATGTTTTTTATAAAGTATTTAAAGAAAATATTCTAAACTGTTGATATTTGGTAAAGATTTGATGCTGATGAAGTATGCTCTTGCTATTTTTCTTTTGAATTTTCTATATTCTTCATTGATGTTGTTAATTGTTTGTGGTTGTTTAGCGTGTCTTTCCTTGATGTTTTTTAAACCTTTTAAGTATTCTAAAGTAGCTAGTTTAGTCCATTTTGAGGTTAGATTCTTATAATCGAGTTCTTTTATTGTATTTTCTTGATCGTCATATAATTCTTTACATAACCAAATCCAAAAATGATGAAATACCAGGGCTATGGCATTTCTATAAGCGAAACATCTAGTTAAGTCGAAATCTATTGCTTTATAGTTCCATTGGAAGTGTGATTTATGGAATCTGGTGTTGTTGTAATCCATATTTATTTCTCCATCGGATTTGCGACCTTCTGGGATTTTGTATGTAATATTTTTTATTGATATATTCCTTCTTGAAGTGACCAATTGAGGCCCCTTCCCGAAGTAATGAATATAAATGATTTTAGTTTATTAAAGTTGATGAATTTCAGAGTTTTTTTACATTTGAAAAATAGATGACCATATGGATCATTACTAAGATTTTCATTACATAGTCTACATGGTTTGTTGTGAATGAAGTTGATGGGTAAGCATCTTGCTTGGAATTTGAATAGAGTGTTTCTTGATTTTGGATCTTTAATATTAAGTATATTATTGAATAGGTTGATATAGCTATAACCTGTAAGTTGAAGACATTGTTGGAATTCTGTTTTGGGTGTAAACTGTTGAGATTGTTTATTTCCGAATACCATTCTGCTAAAGAAAGAGGTTTGCCGTCTTTATTTTTAATGGATTTCAACCCGTCTAGTAGTCCTTTTTTAACTTTTATTTGTATCCAATCATTGTAGTTTTTAAATAGGTAATCTGAAGTTATTGTTTTAGTTGATATTTGATGTTTCCAACTGTGTTGATATTCTGATTCTATTTTGTTAGTTTCAATTTTATTGATTATTTGATTTATTATCCATAATCTTTGTGCTTTTTGTCTGTTTTTGATATTCCAAAGATTCCAACCTCCTTGATCCATAGGATAATTTGCTCTTTTAGAGCTCATTAATTTGAAGACTTTAAAACCATTTGGACTTTTATTGTTAGGTGCTGATAGGAACCAATCTGCAATTTTATTGATTTCTTTAATTTCATCATCGTTGAACTCTTCAATATACGAGTAATATGTTATTCTTGATAGTGCAAAGGATTTGAGGATGTTTACTTTTGTTTTAATTGAGTTACTTGTTGTTTTCCATAATGATAACGAGGATCTTATAGAATTCAGTATTTCTGGTAGTTTTCTATGGATTCCGGTACCTGTGAAGTAGTAACCTAAATATCTTTCTGGTTTATTTGATATTGGAATAACTGAATTTGTTGTGTCTGGGTTGTTAATTGTTATTGAAACTGATTTATCTATATTTAGTTTTGATGATGTTGCTGTGCAAAATTGATTGAAGTGTTGAAGTACCAAATTAAGTTGGTCGTTGTTATGAACCATTGATGATGAATCATCTGCAAAACCTTGAAATTTGATTCTTCTGTTTGTGTTGTCTAAAGGAAGTCCAATTATTGATTTATCTTCTAGTATTGATCTAGCTAAAGCTTCTATTACCATTACATAAAGAGTCGGTGATAAAGGATCTCCTTGTTTTACTCCTCGTCCTATTATAAATTTATCAGTATTTTTACCATTTATTTCTATTTTTGCAAAGGAATTGGTGAGTAGTTGCATAATAAGATTAGTTAGTTTGGTTGGTACTTGAATGTGTAATAGTGTTCTGTAAATGGCATCATGAGATATAGAGTCAAAAGCTTTCTCAAAATCATAAAAAGTAATGATTCCTGGTAGTTTGTTTTTGATACAATATTTGATAATTTCGTTTACAGTCATTGTATTATCTGTAATTTTTCTGCCTCCAGTAAAACCTTTCTGATTGGGGTTAATTATATCAGGAAGAATAGTCTGTAATCTATTGTTGATTACCTTAGATTGTATCTTGTATAGACAATTAGCAAGAGTTATAGGCCTTCTATTTTTGATGAGCATAGGGTCACCTTTTTTTGGGATTGTTATGATTAAACCTTCTTTATATTGTAGATCAATTATGTGTGGGTTGTTTAGGGTGTCATTGAAAGCAGAAGCTAATGTAAGGTACAAAGATCAAATAATTAAATAAAATAAAATTTATATGAAATGTTTATGTTTCTTGTAAAATTCGAAAACTAAAAAGTTTTTATTATTTTTATTTTTTTATTTTTTTAAAAATTTATTTTTTTAAAAAATTCTTTTTTGATGAATTAAAATAATTGTTAATTATTATTAATTAATATTGATTATTATTGAGTAATCATTACACTAACATTGGTGCTTAAAGACTAGTGAGGAGTCCAAAACACCCGGAAGAAAATAGATATAAAAAGAATCGACAGCTGCAGGGTTCGAACCTGCGCCTCCGAGGAGATCTGATTTCAAGTCAGACGCGTTAGACCACTTCGCTAAGCTGTCAAGTTATTGATGTTATGTAATAAAGTGCACTATGCACAAATAAGGCGTGAGGTGACCAACTTAGCAAAAGGGAAATTTCTTAATTTATACTATTAATTTGAACTCCTACTTTATATGTTCAAACCTTATGGGGGTCATATACTACAGTTTTTAAAAATAACATTTTTTTTTTCAAAGACCAAAAAGTTTAAGATTTGAAATTCAGATATATTTTAGTGAAAATACCGATACACCTGGAAAGTTATAGAGCTTTATCGATGAATAATTAATAAAAATTAAATAACTAAAATCAAAATAAAATTACTAAAAAAAATAAATTAATAAAAGTCGTAGAGAACTTTATTGATGAATTACAAATAAAAATTAAATAACAAAAATTATTCAACAAAAATTAAATAACTAAAATTAAATAATCAAAATTAAATTACAAAAAAAATTTTTAAAAATAAATTAATAAAAGTCGTTTTAACCTTTGCACCATTCTTATTAAAGGGGTAAGTCAAAAATTCGTGGTTAGCAATACAAAAAGTGCCAAAACAAAAAATTTATAAATAATTCAGGCAACAATATTTGAATAAACTATACTTATTATAATTATTTTTATATAAATTAGTTAAATATAAATTTATCCTCAATAAAATTGTAATTTTTTAAAAAAATTAATATAAAAAAAGGAGGTATTATAAAAAACCAATTTCAATATCTGCACCATAAATAGTTTAATAAAAAAATTTTAAAAATTATAAAGTTTTAAATATTTATTTATGGTGTTTAATAATTTGTACATATCCGATGGTTTCAAAACATTAAGAAAAAATTAAATAAAATAAAAAATTTGTTGATAAAAAACATTTACCATTTAGGTTTTATTTAATGTGCATATAGATCCGAATCATTATAAAAATTTAAAAATCTGTAAAAAACTGGACTTAATGATTCTACAAAACTATGATTTCTTGGATCTATTTTTATTGAATGTAAATTATAAAAATTGTGGACTTCTTTTATGTTGTTGTTTATAACTATTAATTGCTTTGATGTTGTTATTAATGGCTCTGCAGTTTCCCAAACAATTATTGTCTCTAAGCATTGGAAATTTTCTAAGTTTATTTCATGATGAGATCTTAGTACTATTTTTTTGATAAGTTTTAGAGTAAGCAATGAATAATTTATGTTACAGTTTAAATCCAAAAATTCTAAAAACTTTGCTTTCATTAGTAAACCAGGGTAAATGAGATCTCCATCTGTGTTTGATGATTTAAAAGAAACAAGATTTTCTGGGAATGACATGAACTGTGAATGATAATAACGGCAATCTACCAATGTATATGGATTTTGTACAGGTATGGTATGGTAATAGTCCAAATTTGTTATTTCTAATAATTTCAAACTTGATGGAATTGATTCTTTTGTGATTATTTTATTAAAAAATTTACCCAATTTAAGAATTAAAAGTCCCAATGGTAATACATTCGGTCCAATAACTTGGTTAAAAGATGAACCAAGGTCTATAAAGGTTAAAGATTGAGGAAATATTGTTGGATCTATCAAAGGAGATCCAGAATTATTAAAAATCGAATATTGGCCTAATTGAAGATGTTTAATGTTTGGGGGTAAGCTTCTGCATGTTAACTTTTCATTAAACATAACATTCGATATAGTTAAACTTTCTATAGTATCGGGAAAGATTGAAGTAACTTCTTTATCACCGACTCTGTTATTTGTAATGTTGGAGCAGCAAGAGAGATGCAAAAGTTTTAAACCATTTGGAAAAACATCATTTGTAAACTTCATTAGATCCTTGGTACTATTGACATCTATACTCAATGACTCGAGTTGCGATGGCAAATTGAAATTAATTTCATCTGTGAATTGTTTGCACTTTATTTTTAAATACTTTAGGGAATCTGGATAAATTATGAAAGTTTGATTTTTAATAACAATATCCATTGTATGTATTCCATTTGGTAAATAGCCAGGTAACGCCAAATACGAATAGTCCTTTAAAGATCTGAAAATTGATTCGTCCAAATATAACTCTTTTAATGTTTCTGGTATGGATCCTTTTTCTATTTTATCAATATCATAAACTGAAAGCTTCTCTAATCCATATGGTAAAACTCCTTTAGATAATACTAAAGACCCAAAATTGACCACTAATTTTTTTAAACTAGATGGCAGATCCCCACATTTTAACTCTATGATATTATTTAAATAATTACCTCTAGTAATTATTAATGTTTCTAAACTTGCTATATTTGAAACTATACTTGATATTGGTGTTGTTGTATTTGGTATTTCCAATGATTTGATCCAAAATGGTAATTTTTCTGGACTTTTTTGAAAGAAGGATCCTTCAATTTTTAATGATGTTATATTTTTTGGTAAATATTCGAAATATTCTTTTAAGTAGTTGTGAGTATAAAATATATTTGCTCTTTTTATTTTATTTTTATATTTAAAATGATCTAAACTGTAAACTGATTGAAATGATTTATATTTGAAACATTTCTTTATGATATAATTATTAATATCTCGAATTATTTTGAATATTATAGATTTTAAAAAAATGTTATTAAAAACTAATCGAAATAAACTAGATATATCTCTGATCAAATTATTATTGTTATTTTTTATTGTATGATTTTTTATTTCATTATTGCTACTACTATTATCAATCATTTTTGTTTATTGAAATTTAATTTTTAATTTAAAAAAAATTTTATAAAAAAATTTTAAAAAAAATTAAAAATAATTTTTTGTTAAATCCATCAAAATCAAAAAACTTAAATTTTTTTAAAAAATATTTTGCTGTGTTTTTTGGTTTTTAGGTGTGTGTTTTTACTTGTAAGGTTTGCCACTATTTTTTTTTTTTTAATTTATAAGATATTATAAAATAATCAGAAAATTGTTTTTTTTTATAAAAAAAAAAAAAGTAAAGATTTTTGTAATTAACAAAGATCATTTTTTAATAATATTCATAATAGCATTTTTTTTAAAAAAAAATAAAAAATAAAAAACTTTTGAATTTTATAAAAAAAAAACTCTTATAAATTTTATTTAATTTTATTAAAATATATGATATTGTATACAACTTTTCCTTGAACAAAACTAAATCATATAAAATTGATACTGGTGGGTTTTATTTAATAAAATACAAATAAAAAAATTTTACAATTATAAAAGCTGAGTCCAAAACACCCGGAAGAAACTAGATATAAAAAGTATCGACAGCTGCAGGGTTCGAACCTGCGCCTCCGAAGAGATCTGATTTCAAGTCAGACGCGTTAGACCACTTCGCTAAGCTGTCAAGCTGATGAGTATTATTAAAACTAGGTCCATTTTCCAAAAAAGCACATAAATAATAATAACCTAAATTAATAAAATTTGTGTTATCCTTTGCTCCATTCTACTCTACTTGAAGGGAAATGAAAAAATTCTTGGTTAACAATTAATTCAAAAAAGTTCCATTTCCGAGAACCAATAATAGACATCCTTGTAAAATTATAATAAAAAATTTTAAGAAAATCCATGGCAAATGTTAGCACGAATTTATTAATATAATTTTGATTCATTTTGGTAATTTAATTAATTACCAATTAGGGAACTATATTACAGAAGATAAAAAAAGGTTTTTATGGGGTGTATAAATTAAAAAATATTCATTTGAAAGAAATTCATTTAAATATAAAAAAAAAATTTTACTATTAATAGATTTGTTTAGAATTATAATAAAAAAATTTGAAAACTTTAAGTTTAATATTTTTTTAATTTTGATTTTTTATATATTAAACATTTTTTTTATTTTATATTATTTTTTTTTTATATTGTATTTTATAAAATTTTCTTTTTTTTATTTTATTTTTTAAATTATTTTATTTATTTTATTTTTTAAATTATATTTGAGAAAAAAAAAAAATAAAAAAAATAAAATAATTATTATATTTTGAGAAAAAAAAAAAATAGAAAATTAGAAATATTTTTGCTAATGCTAATTAAATTTGATTAAATAAAAAAAATATATTTTTTTATTTGAAAAATCAGACATTCTTACAAAAATTCATGTTAATGGTAAATACAAAAAAATCAAACCATACACAAAAAAAATCAACAAAAAAAAATAAAAAAAATTTTAAAAAAAAATTATTTATAAATTTTTTTTTTAAAAATAACTGAAATTTTTTATTTTTAAACTATTCTTTAGATAATTATTTTATTTAAATAGAACAAAAATACGCCACTTCGCAAATGTCAGCAAAAACAGAAGGCACTTTTAATTGCAAACACATAAGCGATAACGGAGCTATCGGCCCATGGTAAGCATCGAATATTTATAAAAATAAAAAAAATAAAAATAAAAAAAAAAAGAAATCAAACTTTAAAAAAATAGAAAAAAAATCTAATTTAATGTTTTAAATTAATAGGGAATCAAAATATTTAATTTTAACAGAATACGACTTTAAAGTTAAAGAGAATGCAGACGACACTATAACCAGAAGTATTATCAATCTTTGTGATGTGGTCGAAGTAGGAAGAGATGAAAGCGACGCCCCACCAAAATCAGTAGAAGATTTAGAACAAGAAAACAATAGTGATGTAGAGTTGGGATCGCCTAAATTTCTTTTAAAAATGAAAACACGTTATAATACCGGGTGGATCATCGAAATGGAAAGTGAACAGATCTTTGATGAATGGTCATCGGTAATGGAAAGAAAGAAGGGTGTTTTAAGAGAATCTGACATCAACCCACCTCCACCACCACCAGTAAGAGGTCAAAAAGATTATAAAAGTGACTATACACTCAGAGACTTTTTCGATAATAGACGAATGATGGGTGAAATGTGGATGGTTTATGCTTTTATTGCTTACACTATTCTTTTATCTATATTGTTTGCTTTACTATGGACCCTTTATGTATTACCAGAAAAGAATATTGTCGAAATACCAACAACATGTCATATTATCTCATCAGAGTAAATATAATTTTTTTTTTATTTGTATATTTTATTTTTACTAATTTTATTTTATAACTATTTAGAGCCGAATATGTTTGGAAAAGAAATTATAATTTAAATATTTATGTTAGTTATAATACAACTGAAGGTGAACTAACAAATAAAATGGTACAATATTGCAGTGGTACCAGTTGCCCAAGTAAAATGGTTGAAAAATATCCAGTTGGTTCTGATAAAGAGTGCCATTACGATGAAGCCAATCCAAATTATGTTTTCTTTGATCTCAGTCAAATGGTTAGAAAGAGATACACAATTACATTTGGTCTTTGTGGTGGTTTATTTGGTCCATGGATCATTTGTGTTGTTGTAATGTTGATAACTCGTTGGAAAACCTTTTCAAAAATGATGAAAAATACTTTTTGTTCTTGTTAATTTTAAAAATATAAACAATTAAAAAAATTTGTAATATATAAAATAATATATGAAATAAAAAAAAATTATTTTTAAATTTTTATTATAAAAAAAAGAAAAAGTTTAAGTTTATTTTTTTTTTTTTTAATATAAAATAAATAGAAACGATATAAATACATAATAAATACATAATATATAAAATAATATTTCAACTATTTTTTTTTTTTCCTTTTTTTCCAAATATATAAAAATATATGGTTATATATGAAAGAGAAAGTGAAAGATTGAAAGAAAGAAATAAAAAAAGTTGAAATTGAATATTATTAAATATAGATGAAATAATTATTAAAGTGTATATATGTAATTGATGTTATATTATTATAAATTATTTATTATTATAATACACTTTTTTTTTTTGAATTTATAAATATATATTTTTGGGTTTTTAGTTTTTATAAATATAGCATCCTAACCACCTTTTTATTGTACACATAATATTTTTATATAGAAGTGTTATACAATATACAGGTGATGATTAGCATATGGCGTTTACTAGTTAATTTAGTTGGAGTTACCACTGTAGTCAGCACCTGAAGCTTTTTTGACTTTTTTCATAATTTCTTCTTCGTTGACTTCTTCTTGTGATTCAGCGTGGAATTCAACACCATAGTTGGTGATGACCTTTTTGATTGAGGCTTTGTGGACTGAAACTTTGGCTCTCTTTAAAGCACCAACGTTGGCACCAACGAATGAAATGAAAACGAATTTTGGACGTTTAGATTCGTTATCACCAGAGATAACTCTGACGTAAGCATAAAAACGTTCAGCATCATCGAATTGTGGGATTAATTCTGAAAGACCACCTGAACCTGAACCTCTTAAGACGATTTTATCATTACCTTCATAACCGAATAAACACCTGAATTATTTTTGAAATAGAGAAAAAAAAAAAAATTAGTATTAGTATTTAATTTTTATGCAAATATATTTTTTTTTCATAAATAATATTTATAAAAAATAGAGAGATAGGGAGAAAAAGAGAGAAAGATAATTACCAATTGGTTTCTGAGCTATCAGCTAAAACGTCAGCAACGGCATTTTTTAAGTCTTCTGATGAAACGTCGGCCATTTTTTTTATTTATTTAAAAGAGTTTTATTAATACAACAAAGTAAAAAATATAATTACAAATAGGTGGATATGAATGAAGAAAAAAAAGAAAAAAAAATTATATTTAACAATTTTTGAAAACAAAAAAAAAAAAAAAAAAATTAGAAATAAAAATTAAAAAAAATTAAAATTTTTTTTTTGTATAATAAAAAAAAAAAATTTCTTTTAACCACCCCAAGCCATTTTTGAATCCAATTGTTATAAATGGGTGTTGTTAATTTTTTAACAAAATAAATAAAAAAAAAAAAAAGTTTGATCAAAAAGATTAATTTTATATTATTGGCTTCATATTTTTTTATTTTGTTACAAAATTTTTATTATGTTACTGAAAATGAAAAATAATATGAGGCATGGTGAGTGTGTGTTTAAATTTTTTTTTTTTTTTTTTTGTAGAGAAACATTGTTATTGGTTAATTAATGAAAAAAAAATATAAAGCCATATCTTTAATTTTGAAAATAAAAATAAAAAATAAAAATAGTGGTTACATACTCACTCACACACTCACATTTACACTCACACTCACACCAAAATAAAACATATAATTAACTTACCAACACACACTCACACACTTACACACTTACACACACTCACACACATACACACACTTTTTGTATATTTTTATTAAAATATATATAAATGTTTATTTTTATTTTTATTTATCTACTTTATCTGTTTTATCTACTTCTCTTCTACACAAACATTCTCAGATTTAGTTTATTTTGATTTAAATATAAAATGAAAAAAAGTAATAGTTTACAAGTTAACACAAATACTGAATAAAATTAAATATTAAAAAAAAAAAAACAAAGAATAAATTACTAATTATTAAAACTACATTTGTTTTCCCACACAATTATACCCATGTATATTATTAATAACAGTATTTAAAATTTTCATATGATGTTTCAGTCATATTATTTTTTTATTAACTTCTCACCCACCAAATTTTCAACATTTTGAAATATCTATTTTTGGGATCTGGGAAAAATTTGATTCAAATAAAATGGTCAAAAAAAATAAAAAATTAAAAAAAAAAGGGTTATTTTTGGGACCCCAAAAAAAAAAAAAAAAAATATCTTTTTTTTTTTTTTTTTTTTGAAACTGATATTTTTTTGATGAAAAAAAAAAAAAAATTAAATATATATACAGATTTATTATAAAAATTTATACATATAATGGTTTTTGATTATAACTTGATTATGAACTGATTTTTATAAGGTTTTAATATTTACTAAACTTTTAACTAGTCTATTCCTTTTTTTGTTTGGTTGATGCTTTATATTGGGTGATGCGGTTGAACTTGTTAAAGGATTTGTATTATTACTATTTATTACATTGTTACCATTGTATGAAGGTGATGGTATACTTAATCTATTTATTGTTGTATTTTGGCACATAAATTTTTCTTCCCAGGTTCTTTCAATTAATTTTTGAATTATATTAATTAGATTTTGTTGTTGCTGTTGTTGCTGCTGTTGTTGCTGTTGCTGATTATTAAAATAAAAGTTATCAATGTTTGTAAAGCTATATTGCTGTTGCTGTTGTGATTGATTATGTTGTAACTGTTGTTGTTGCTGTTGCTGCTGTTGGTTTGTTGTAGAGTTTATGTTTGAAAATTTAATTGGTGATGAGTTTGAAGTACTATTACAAAAGGTCCATTTTCTGCCTCCTACACCAATTTCAACGAGTGAGAATAGGTTTTTATCTGGTGGTAAGCTACTGGATACATTGGCATGAATTAATATGGTTTCTAATGGGACTGATATAACTAGTTTATAGCTTGTTCCTTTTTGCTTGGTAAATAAAAATAGATCATTAAATAAAAAGTAAATACCCTTTTTAAATTTAAGAGATGAGTATTTCTTTTCTTGATTTTCATTAAAACCAATTACCATATGAAGTGGCCCTTCTAGTATTAGATGTCTATTTGCTGCTAATAGTTGTAGGTTATCTGCACCTTTAAGTGATTGTATTAGTTGCATTGTTCTCTGCCATGTCTCCATTTCTTTTTTTTGGTTGTTGATGATTGAAACGATCTTTTCAATTTTTTCTACTGCAAAGATTAATTGTGGATAGTCAAAGTGATCCTCAGCAGTGGCTTTAAGTAGTTCTTTTAAAAGTAACGGATATTTGCATATTCTTTGAACTGGTTTAATAAGAAAAGAGTGTGGTCCCATACCTCTAAGTTCGTTCTTTGCCACCAATTGTTCGAAAAATGATTCGTATTGTGGTGATTTTAAAAGCTGGTTAAGAGAGTCTAGCGATTTTTGGTGGTAGTTACAATAAACTGAATAGACTTGTAACGAATCGGCCATTGTTGAAAATACTTGACCGATGGTTAAAGTATTGGATACTAATTTTTCATAAAGCTCCTTATTTACTTGACAAATTTGTTCAATGTTAGAGAAAATACTTGCACATTCTTCTTTGGATATAAAATCTCTTAATGGTTTGCAAAATAGGTTAATGATGGTCTCTAAATCGTTAATATAATCCATTTCAGTTGACATAATTTCTTTAATAAGATTTGATCTATGATCTGACTTTATAATATTTGAATTGTTATTTTGGTTTAGGTTTATACGTTGTTGATTGTAATTGTTGGTTAGTTAATGTATTTGTAATGGTTGGATTGTTAATTGTTGATGTTATATTTAAACTATTTATATTATTGTTTATATTATTATTGTTATTGTTATTATTAATATTGTTGCTACTAATGTTATTATTGATTATTGGAATAGGTAATGATATAACTGGTTGATGGCTAGATGAGTTTTTTTTGCTATGTCCACTACTGTTTGAAATTGATAATAATGGGCTTTTTGATGGTGGTGATGGAAAGGCGTCAATAATTTCGTCTAAAAGTGCAGTGTTGTAGCTTTGATTGGTTTTTTTATTATCACAGTCATTTAGGTTTAGTTTTAATAAACAATTGTTAAGGTGGTTATTTACACTATTATTTAAACTATTGTGGAGTATTTCTATACTGTTTGAAAAATTATTGTTTATTGGTTTGTCTGTTAATAAATTTGTAATTAATACACTTTCATTTTCTTGATCTCTAATTTCAATATTTTCAATAATTTTTTCTGATATTTTATTGTCATCATTATTATCATTGTTATTGATGTCATTATTATTGTTATTAATATTGTTATTATTACTACTTGTTTTGTTATGTAAAAATTTGGGTTTTTTAAAAGCGCTTGAAGAGGATATAAGGTTTTCAGTTTCTGATATTTCCGTAGATGCTCTATCATTGTTTTTATTATTTATATTACTTGTATTACTTATATTATTTATATTTACATTCATATTTATATTATTGTTACTAATATTAATATTACTGATACTATTATTAGTTTGTGATATCGCTGATGAAACTGTTACATTTTCATCATTGTTTTTATTATTTAAAATTTTATTGGTACTGTTTGATAAAAGATTTGATAGGCTTGATGTTGAAGTATTTGGTGAATTAATATTGTTTTTGTTATTTACTATATATGTATTTAAATTTGTTGATGAGCTATTGGGTGAGTTTTTTTTAACAGCTATATAATTTAAATTTAATTTTTCATAATCCTTGGTTCTACTATTAATATCATTGATTATATTTTTAATTGGTGAGGATGATCTTAATATTGGTGATGTAGAGACGACAGAGTTTTGTTGCTGATATTTTTGGCTATTGTTTTCTTTATTTTGATTGTTATTATCTATTTTTGATGTAATTTCAGCGCCATTAATTTCTTCATCATTTTTAAATTCTTCATCAATAGGATTTGGTAAAATAAGTTTATTTATTAATAGGGTGGATGAAAGCTGATATTTTGAAAATATTGGGATTGGCTGAATTGAGTTTTTTGATGGTATTGAGTTTGGGTGAAGTTTAACGTTACATCTAAAACAAAATTTAGAATTTACTTTTCCTAAATAATTGCATCTCCAACACCTTTCACCGACATCTGAGTTGCAAACATTACAGACCCTATTAACTTTTGGAATATCTGAGAGACAATGTTTACATTGTATTGTCCCCTCCATATTATTGCTAAATTTGATCCTAAAAAAAAATAAAAAAAAGATTATTAATATAAATTTATTTTAAATATTGATAAATAAAAATAAAATAATAATAATATAAATTTTAAAAAAAATATTTAATATACATATAAAATAAACAAATTAATACATTTTAAAATTTTTTTTTTTTTTTTTTCAAATTATTAAAATAATATATATTTTTAAATATATATTACTTTAATAATTTGAAGGTATATATATGTTATATAGAATAAAAATAAATTGATTTTTTTTTTTTTTTTTTTTTTGATTGATTTTGGCTTTTAATTTATTTTTGTTTATATTAATTAAAAAATATAATAATAAAAATTTTATTTTTTTATAATTTTTATTTTTTTTAAAAAAATAAAAAAAAAAAAAAAAGATTTTTTTAAGCCTATGGTAATATTATTTTTATTTATATAATTATTTATAAAAAATTAAAATTGGAAAAAATAAAAAATAAATAAAACATATTTTATTTGAGAGAAATAAAAAAAAAAAAAAATAAATAAAATTTAAAA